TAAATATTAAAAGTTATTATATTATTATAAATCTTAAAGAATTAATTAATTAGAATATTTATAGAAAAAGAAATAAAATTAAATTTACTTAATAAGTTAATTTATAATTTATATATTTTACTACTATATTAATCTCTAGTAAGAAAGCTATATCTTTAGTATATATAAGCTTATTAGTTGCTAATTATATTGCTAAAGAATTTTATTAATAAAGTAGTAAATTAATTTAATTAGTATCTTTTATATAAATAGTTTTAAAATCTCTTTATATAAAGACTTTAAGCTTTTTATATATACTCTAGAAATACCTAAAAGCCTTTAAGCTAAAAGCTAGTATTATAATATTTAAAAGCTAATAGTATTTTTATTTTATTTATTAAGAAGCTTATTAACTTAAAATAAAATATCTCTATAAAATATACTATACTAAAGAGATTATTAAATAGTCTCTTTAAGACTTTTAAGCTATTTATATAGTCTTAGTATATTAAAGTAGAAAATAATTTAGAATTAATTTAGAATTAATTTTAAAATAATTTAGAAATAATTTAGAAATAATATAGAACTAGTTTTAATATAAATCTAGAATAATTATAGTATAAAGTTTAATTTATATATTAAGGTAGAAGGAATTTTTTCTATATAATTTTATACTTTTAAAAAATCTAAAAATTAGATCGGAAAATCGTAGTAGCAGCATTTGCAGATGCGAGCTAATGTGCGACCGTACCAGGGCAGCATAGGCGAACTCCCAGTCTATAACACCCACCACGCGAAGATCTTGATTAATTAAAACGTTAGATGGGCGTAAATCTTCAGAGTACAGCCGAAACTTGGCTTCGCGATAGGATTGCTGCTCGGGATCAAATCCAAGTGCAAGTAGCCTACTAGATGCGAGCCGCCGAAACAGCTGACGAGCAACAAATTTGTCGCGTACATCATCCTCGTCGAGAACAGCGTCATTGTGTTGGAACGTTATCTGTGCTAGATGCATATCGGCCATGGCGGCGTACTACTCCGTGGAGGTGCAGTATTGTTGCAATGGTAGTAGTGATGCGACTACCCCAGCGAACTCTACTAAGGAGTTCATGTTCTGAATGAGAGGCCGTCCTGAAATAGAGAAGGTTCCGTCTTTATCCTGAACCAATGAACCTATTTGGGGGAATGATAGTGTAGATAGCTGGAGGATGATGTTGGCCATTTGCCTGTAGAGAAACTCAAGCTTTTGCTCGCTGATATTGGCGTGCAGAACATGGGACTCGTCTGGTCCAAGGAGAGGGTCGTTCAATGCATCAGACATTGTCCTGTTATGCTCTATATAATCCATAATAATGAAAGGGCCAAGGCTAGTAGGGTTCTCTGCCGCAGTTCCGTAATGGTATATTTTGGGCACAGGAATCGTGGTGTTTGCCGCAACGTAACGCATTGTAGCCACCTCATACTTGATCTTCTCCTCAGGGAACTTCACAATGCCTGTTCTGACTTAGTCATGTCTTTTGAGGCGAGTGGGCAACATATCGAAATACCTTTACAGGGGATCCTCATCGCAGCAGACGTGCCATCACTGTATTCCAGCCGATAGAATATATTGTATCCGCCCCTGATCGGTGAGTGAAGCTTTACAGGCTCGCCAGGCTTGTATTTTGTTATGAGGTTGCCAATGCCACGGTAAACGTCCGAGTTGTGTAGAGACCTCTCCCACGACTCGACCTCCTCATCACTCTTCTCCCATGCAAGGTCGTCCTTTTCCATGCGAACGTATCTCGGTTTCGGAGCCATTTCGAACCAGTCCAAGCTGCAATCTCAAAAACAAGAAAAAACATGACAATTTTGAGGGCTAAGTCAAAACCAGAACAATGGGGAAGGCCTTGGGTACACAGGCGTCAAACGAATGGGGGCTGTGCCTTGCGGGGGCCATTTGGTGACTGGCAGCCTATCACATGCATAGCAGTCGCCCTGGTGCAATTAAAAGGGCCAATTTACTTTTGCGATGATCGTGCTTTGGTGGTTGCCCGCATTGCGCGACCGTACCGACTCAATCGAGGAATTAACACCTCATCGTCGCTATCTAATGTAGGAGGCTGTGGCCGTTTCCTTACGGGCTGGTGATTCTGATGGTTTTCTTCCTCCTGTGGAGTTTCCTGAGCCTTGTCTGCAGAATCTGTCCGAGGCTCATCGTATTCTAGCTGTTCCTCTTCTTCCTGATCCCCCTGCCGAGCCTCTGAGTCGCTCCTAGCGGCGTCTGCTGGAGGGAATGCTTTGAGACTAACAACCTCACGAATCAACTCCCCTTTAATATCTTCTATATAGTCTGCTATTGCTGATTGAGATGCCACTTCTATAGAATCGCTGACCGATATGGTTGAGGTTGTTGGTTGGCTTCTTCCTTTAGATCTAACCTAAGGCTTCTTTAGCTGTGGTTTTGGCTGATCCCCTGTAAATCGAATATCAATCCAGAGAATAACCCCTTCTATCTTTAATAGCCTAGGTGTAATTAGCGTCAGTATTAAAAATATCAGCTATTAATTCAAAAGGCTCCCGTTCAAAGGCAATAGAGATAAAGGTCCTAGTCTCTAACTTGCTGATTCTCTCAAAAGAGACCCCAAATACTATGTTCGGTCGATCGGTCGCGTTAGAATCTTTCCAGAGGTTGCAAAGGTATTTAGAAGTAAAACAATCCTTTGAGATTGATCTTAGCGTACTCCAAGGAATAAGAGGAAGATCTAGGCCACCTGAATAGCAGTTAGTAATACAAATTATATACAAACAGTTTGTATACTAAGTGAAGTTGTTTTGTCGGCTTTAAGGAAGCCTCCTCTAAGGCTATATCCGTCTGAATGTAGGGCTTTCACCCGGATCTTCAAGCCAATTGGAGTTTCAAAAGGTGAGGCTTCTTTGGCTGATCTTGTGGCCTGATTGGCTTCACGCCTCATCTGCTCAAAGTACTTCAATTGCTTTAGATTGACTGATCGACCTAGAGCTGACGAGGAAGATGAAGCAGGAGACGCAGACCTCGTTAGATTAGGCAGAGCTCTTCCTTGCGATGTAATATAGCCGGTCGTCGAGGAGGAGGATCTTTGTACGCCAGCTTCTGAGATCACCTCGCTATCTCAGCCATCCACGATGATCTCTTGTGGCCAGAGTCTGCCGCAGAAACCACATCTTGGCACGTTTGTATTCGCCTGTCGTATCTCAGCGTGCCGAATTCGTCGTGGGTGGCAGCCGCAGATAACACTGATCGATCGAGCCTCTGCCGGCATAACGGCGACTAATTAAGGTTAGTGGAGAGATATTTGAATGGCTATTCAAAGGCAGATGATGATACTGGAAAGAGATGTTGTTCTGAATGTGGGATACATGTTGGTAAGGAGGAAATTGCGATGGCCCCTGCTCTCCGCCGCAAGTAACACAAAAGCTGCAATTAGAGCCCGACTGCGCCACCTACCCTGGAAGAAGTAAGAATTAACGCAAATTGGTGATTTTTGATGAATTAATTAAGATCAAGGTCATCTTGTTGTATCTCAGCTATTTGTGCATCAAATGCCGTCGGAAGAGGGTCTCCAGAGAGGCTCGGGTCGGCGAGGTAATTGCGTTGAAGAAGGCGTTCGTATTCCAACGCGCCACCCGCAGCAATAGGTGTGAGCTGTAGGATTGGCAGAGATCCTGTTCTCTGATGACTTTCAATGAGATCTCGTAGCTGAATAAATTTATCCACACATGGGCGTTTGGAGTCATCTTCAAGGTCTAGTCGAGCTTCAAGCCCGATCTCTTGGAGCCGCTGATTACACCAAGCCTCTGTCTCTTCTGGCAGCAGCGTTTCAATGTCCATGTGCTCAAGCGGACTCAGCATATTATTAAGTAACTGCTGATCTGGGCTGCCATCATCTTGGCTTAGCTCTAGAAACCCCCCAATTTGGGTCCTCTGTGGTGTGATATAGGTCCATTGGGACGCCCGACCGAACATTTGGTCGATTTGGCTGGTTACGGATAATATGACCGTTCCATAAACACACAAATTGACCCAATTCGTCTCGATTATAGGACCATAGATAGCATACATAGCTATCTGATCAGCGAGGTTGTTCTCCCTAAAAATTGCGTAGCCGGCAAGCTCACGAAAGAAGGTTATCCAGCGATCTGTAGCCCCTCCTCGTAGCTGACGCCACCAGGATTCAATCTTCACGTTTCTTGTGCTTGGTCCATAGATATGACAGCTATCCAGTCGATCACCTTGTTCGTAATAGTGGCTGACTCCGTCTTCATCAGTGTATTTAAGCTTCTTTGGACCGGCTTTTGCAAGGGCCGCTTGCGCTGCCGCCTACAGAGGGGTCTCGACGCCATGGTCAGATCTTGTGAAGAAGGGTCGCATTTGCAGTCTTTGAACGGCCTGAAGGTACTGCTTTAACGTGCTTACTGAGGTCGTAGCTGACCTTCCAATAAAGAACCAGATAATGCATCGCGAATGCGCATCAATACAGCCATAAATCTGAAATCCAAACCTCTTTAGCTTTTCATAGCCATCAAGAGACCATAGGAAGTTTGGGCCAGGTACTTTGAAGTCTCCTCGTTGTTTAAAACTGCCGTCACGGCGACCTGCAACTTCTTCCGGAAAAACAGATCGATAATAATCATATAAACGTCGTTGCGATACAGCCAGCTGTGCTTGTTGACGAACGTATTGATAAAAAAGTCCTTTACCAAAGCCCAGGATAGCTGTGCTCTGTTGAAGGGCTTGATGCAGAGATTCAATCGCACGGTTAAGGGTTTCTTCTCTTTCCTCAGGTATTCGATGTCGCCGCTTCATGCCATAGCAGTACCGGATTCGGCGTATCATCCATCGATTCGCCTCAGAATAGCCCTCTCGCTGTAGGTCACGAAGAATTGAGAGATCAGAGAAGCCAAAGTTAAAGAAATAGTATTTAACCCGATTGAGTAGGTCTTCAGAGACCTCCAAGGCCTTATGCCGGCTGTTCAAACCCCAGCGTTCAAGTTGATTGTACAAAGTTCGCTCGCTGATAGGTACATTATTCCTCAATTGAAGCTGGGAGTTAATATTGACCAAGATATCTTGAATTGATACACCTTCGTAATACAGATCGCAGATATCCTCATATAAAGGCTGAAGCTTTTGATAACTTGGGACTGAAGCAGTAAGACCCCAATCGTACGAAACGAGATAGTGCTGCCGCCATCAGCCACCAGCGATTCGTTCAAAAACGCATAGATCTGATCATTAGAATGACCCTCATTTCTTCTTATCTTGATGGCTTCTCGAAAACCCTCAATTTGGCGGCGTGGCGGCATTGCAAAGGTTGGGTGCTGCGATGAGTGTGTGCGTTGATGTGTGTGTGTCGGTGCGTGGTTTGCGGGTTGGCCCTCTTGCAGTTGGAGTACTAATATCCCACCGTAAGGGGGACTCCGTGCCGGTAGAAGGGGAACCTGTCGCTCCCGAGGTCAAGATACGGACCATTCTTAAGGCCCGCGACCTCGACGACGTTAGGTTGACAGTGCAGCGTGAAACAACAGTTGCAACGCTTATAACTAGCTTCTGTAAGCAACGCTCAATAGGACTAGACAAGAATATTAGAAAGTTAGTTTAACGCAAAATACTAGAGGAGCATGTCATAATAGAAGAGGCAGAGATTAATAATATAGACATTTAAAGTATATATTAAATAAGCTTAGCTTACAGGCATGGTTAAAGACTTAAGATGGTGGGCATTAATAAGCGGCGTTTAGATGGCTATAGGAACAAGATACCTGAGCCACATGTACTACAGCGTTGGAAGTGCGCAATAATGAGAAAAGCAATATGCCGGCTCGCTGCTCGCTTAGTACTAAGCACAAAGTCCAGTGTCAACCAACGCAAGCGCTTGCAGCCATATGTAGCAGCAAAACTACACAAGGCTCGGGGCCCTTGATCGCCTGGTATTGGCAACTCACACCACTACCTCGTCTACTTTCAGAGGGTTGAAGGATCCAGCTCAGTATAGCCTTGTCGTCTTGGAGAAAGCATTCTCTAGCGACCCGCAAATTCCCGTCTTGACGCAAAGCACGACAACCAACCGACCAATCAGCCGCTGCCACGCTGCTCGTTTTGGAATTTGTTGCGTCAGACCGGATTTCCGTTCACATGGAATATCCAAGCTAGAGACGTAAAGTCTGGTAGCTTTTTTTGGGTCTATCTGACCATGTCAGATGAAGTGTTTTGAACAAGGCACCGCATTAGTTGATGCGCCATGCGTGCCCCCGTCGCACCGGGAACAGGTTCGTTCATATCCAACATCTCACGGAGCCGTGGCACCCCGGCGTGGATGAGGTTCTCGAGACTTCATGGGCCGTTACAAGTCCATTATGGAACATCATCCATGGAAGACACAAGGAGAAGAGAATCCACCCACATTGTGCAACTTGATCAAGACAAGGGAGAGCCGCCGGACGCGTCAAGCTGAAAATCCAAGCCTAAGCCTCCCCGCATCGTTATTGTAGTTCGTGCAACGTTGGTGCCCTGAAACGGTCCGATTGGAGACAACGTAAGGCTACGAACAGCAATCTCCACGGGAATTCCAACACGGTAAGCACTCTTGACCTCAGCGTACATCTTCACAGCCTTCGTGATAAACTCGCATTAGCCACGTCTGATTTGATCCAACGCAAGGCGCAAAAAAAAGTAGGCAACAGGTATTTACAAACTATGCGGAGGAATGCCAGTTCTGGAGCACTGGTGGTATATCTTACGCCACGTCATGACAAACTTGCTACGTAAGGCTCTTCAAGTTTTCTCGGTTTCTGTCCGTGACGTGCTTAGTCAGTCACATGAGGGGAAACTGGAAATAACCGCACATAAAAAGTGGATCGTGATGCCCCTCGGCGGGGGTCGTGTGATAAGATGAGACATCGACCACGACTCTGTGCTCCGTGCAGCCTCGTTCCAACTAGGCGACATATAACTCATCTCTCACGAAATTGCCTCTCGATTTCTGGCCGGAGCGGATGACCTGAATGGGCACTACCATTGCTTGCGGGCCAAATCTCAGTCGTGCCGGCCCCGTCTCTACGGAATAGGGCACGCGTCGCGCCATAATCAAACATCAGCTTGGAGCCTTTGACAGACGGCGCGACTTCCCACCATTACGAGACACCTTTACACACAGCCATCCACCCTTTGCTTACTCCACCCAAGCATGGCTGTATCGGAACTGACTGCTTCAGCCGTCGCTATAGGCACAGCGCCAACAGGTCGGCCCAGTGCTCTCCAACGAGCATCATCATCTGCCCATCCGACAGCCTTGCAGAACCGGGCAGCATCCAGCAACAGTCCCTTTGTTAGAGCGGGAGAAAACAGTCTCGTAAAATGGCAGGTTCTGGACGCAGACTCCGTTGAACGAGCCAAGCGAGAGAACAAGCTTCTGTTTCTTCATATTGGATACAAGGCTTGTCATTGTATGTCCCAACTCGTCGTGGAAACTGTCTAGGACCCGGATGAGCTAGCTGACGGTTGGTAGTCTGTCGTCTTATGACGCAAGAGTCATTCTCGAATGCAGAATGTGCTACCATTCTGAACGAATCCTTTGTCCCCGTGATTGTTGATCGGGAACAGCGTCCCGACATCGACACCACGTACATGAACTATGTGCAGGCTGTGAGCAACGTAGGAGGCTGGCCGCTAAACGTCTTTGCCACCCCCAATTTGGAACCCGTCTTTGGCGGAACTTACTGGCCCGGACCTGGCACGTCGCGACGAGTTGCGACTGAAGGTGAGGATGAATCGCCCGACTGTCTGTCCATTTTCAAAAAGGTGCGCGACATTTGGCATGACCAGGAGACACGATGTCGCAAGGAGGCTTCAGAGGTCCTGACACAACTTCGAGAGTTTGCCGCCGAAGGCACCTTGGGCACTCGAGGGCTCGGCGGCTCACACCCCGTCACCGTACCGAGCTGGAATATCCACAGCATACCCAGCATCCCTGAGAGTACCTCCATTCCCGTCCCGGAAAACGATGCCCAGGTGTCGAGCGAACTGGATCTGGACCAGTTGGAGGAGGCATACACTCATATTGCCGGCACATTCGACCCCGTATATGGAGGATTTGGTCTAGCACCAAAATTCCTAACGCCTCCGAAGCTAGCCTTCTTGCTACATCTAAATACGTTTCCCAGCGCCGTTCAGGATGTGGTTGGAGAAGCAGAATGCAAGCATGCGGCAGAAATGGCCCTCATCACCCTTCGAAAGATCCGCGATGGCGCACTGCACGACCACATCGGCGCACTCGGATTTGCCCGCTGTTCCGTCACGCCTGACTGGAGCATCCCCAACTTTGAGAAACTAGTAGTCGACAATGCCCTCTTGCTGACATTGTACCTCGACGCCTGGCGCCAATCTGGCGGCAATGAGAACAGCGAATTCTACGACATCGTGCTCGAACTCGCCGACTACTTGAGCTCGCCCCCAATCGCCCTTCCTGGCGGCGGTCTGGCCACCAGCGAAGCTGCCGACTCTTTCATGCGACGCGGCGACAGGGAAATGAGAGAAGGGGCCTACTATCTGTGGACCAGGCGCGAGTTCGACTCTGTCGTCGACGCGTCAGGCCAAGACAAGCAAGTCAGCCAAGTCGCCGCGGCCCACTGGGACGTCCAGGAAGACGGCAACGTGGACGAAGACCACGATCCCAACGACGACTTCATCAACCACAATATCCTTCGGGTAGTCAAAACCCCGGCGGAGCTCAGCAAGCAGTTCAACATTCCCCTCGACACAGTACACCAGCACATCCAGACCGCCAGAAGGGAGCTCAAAGCAAGACGAGAAAGGGAACGAGTCCGCCCCGAGCTAGACGACAAAGTCATCACCGCGTGGAACGGGATCGCCATCTCCGCCCTCGCACAAACTTCGTCCGCCCTCAAAGCTGTCTACCCCGGCGGCAGTGAAAAGTACCTCCAGGCGGCGAAATCGGCCGCCGACTTCATCAGGTCCTCCCTCTGGGACGAATCCTCCGGGCTCCTATACAGAATGTACCGCGAGGGCAGGGAGACGAAAGGCTTCGCCGACGACTACGCGTACCTCATCCACGGGCTGCTAGACCTCTTTGCCGCAACAGGCGACGAGACACGCCTGGCCTTTGCAGACACCGTCCAAAGTGAGTCTGACTGTCTTGTTCGTTCACCCGCGCCAGGCAAACCAGCTAAACAGCCTTAGAAACACAAAACTCGCTCTTCCACGATGCCGACTCGGGTGCCTTCTTCTTGACCACGGCGTCCTCCCCACAGGCTATCCTCCGCCTCAAGGACGGCATGGACACTTCGCTCCCGTCCATCAACGCGGTCGCCGCGTCGAACTTGTTCCGGCTCGGGGCGCTGCTAGATGACGAGCGCTATTCGTCACTGGCAAGGGGAACGGTCAATGCCTTTGAAGCCGAGATGTTGCAGCACCCGTGGCTGTTCCCAGGCCTGTTGGGCGGCGTAGTGACCGCGAGACTGGGGCTCCAAGGCTCCGTGGGCGACGCAAGGTATAAAGCTGGACGGCAGAGGCAGGAGTCTGTATAGAGCATCGAGATATCCCTCGGCTGCTGGCACAATCCGCAGTTGGAACGTTTCCATAGACCAATGAAGATTTTTCTTTCTTTCTAAGGTCCGGGGTATCTACTGTACATCTGCCGCCGCCGCCGGCTGGCTTCGTTCATGACCGGGGGCTGTCTGCCGCCCCCGCAGTCCTATTCATCAACCCGCTGAAGAAATTCTGCAGTTGCTCATTGTCAAACTCTTTGGTCATGTTGCCCACGGGCATTTCCTCCGGTTCGTCCTCTTCGTCCGGTGCAGCATGTGCGTTGCGATCCTGCGGTGGTTAACATCGCCGTCCTGCAGCGTGCCACATCGAGTCATGGACTTACCTTAAGACGCTGCAGCATATCATCTGCATCCACTTGAATGCCCCCCATGTTAAACTGCACCGGGCCAATGTGATCGTGCACGCTCTTCTCTCCGGGGAACTCGACCTTTTTCCCCGCGGGCAGGGGACTGCCCCCTTTCTCGGGGGCCTTTGCCTTGAATGCCTCGAGGATCTTGAGCTGTCGTTCCAGAAAGTCCTGCAGGTTCTCGCTCTCCACACCGACGGTTCGCTCGTCTGACATGGCGCTTTCGACGACAGCCAGACCACCACTGTTGGGGTCGCGGCACCACTGTTCGTACTGGGCCACGGCGCCGGGTCCTTGCGTCGGCGTGGCATTTTCTTCGTCGGCATCGATGGCGAAGGGGTCGACTCCGCGGGGGAGCTTGATGTCTGCTTCCCAGCCCTTGGAGATGAGCTCCGTGTCAAAGGTGCCGCCCAGGATGCGGATCTTTCCCCATGAGTCCCAGTTTGGTACGACGACAATCTTATCTCTGTCTATGACGTTGTGTTTGAGCGGTTGGCGCTTGAGGAGCGACGTGATGCCCAGAGTGGAGTGAATGAGGAGAGGCAATTGGGAGGGTGTGTTTTGGGATGTGTATATCAGCGATGCGCCGTCTAGAAACACGTCAGCGACGGCTTCATTTGTGTTGCTGTTGGGGGGTGGCACATACGACGGAGGAGTACGGTTCGGAGATACTGCAAGACAGTGTCGAAATCTGGCTCTTTCCAGCCGTTGTTCTTTTCGAGGAATTCCATTTTTTGCGCCTGTCGCTCGCTAGATTAGCCACATCAAAGGTCTTCCGGCGCTTGGGGGAAAAGGGGGGGGGCTTACGTTCTGGCATACCACACAGAGTGGCAGTCCCAACGGCTCTGACCATTCTCCCGGACCGAGGGGCAGCAGTCCATCGCCATCGCTGCTCGTTGCTGTGGCCGTCGGCGTCCCGTCCAAGTTGGCCGACGAGCCCACACGGCCGCGCTCCTTCCACGAGGCCATGACATCCTCCATTTCGTTGCGCGCCTCGGCATTCACCCCCCCCATGACCTCCTCCAGCACTTGGATCCAGCTCCAGACCTGACGGAGCCATTTGTGGGGCTGTGACCAGTCCAGGAGGATGACGATGGCTGTGTGGGAGACCATCTGCGCGGTTAACAGTGGCGAGACGAGGGTTGCGAATTCGTTTGACGGCTGTGATAGGAGATAGAGCGATACCCGGGCGAGCGTATCTGCTTGCGTCAGTCTGGTCCGAAGGCATGCGCAGCAAGAGCAGTTCAGTGCAAACCATCTTGATCGGCGTCCAAGACATCATAGTACGTGTACCCCAAAGCGAAGTTGTTCGCGACAGGCGGCGTCTTCTGCCTGCTCAGATTGCGCCTTGCCTCGGCACCAGAGAGCGACTCGATAAACTCCCGTTGGGTCTCAGGGGTACCACCTATTTATTCAACATTAGTCGACTGAATTGGCGTTTCTGTGCGGGTGAGCGCGGTCGACACGTGCGTACCCAAAACCAAGAGGTTCTTTTCTGGGAGGCGTTTGCCGCTGGCGACTGATTCTAGCATGGACGCCCAGAGGTTCCTCTTTTGTTCGCCATTTCGACCCTCTGTTTCGCCGGAGCCGGAGGTGTATGTGGAAACTCGTTCGTTTCTGCCCGCCATGGCGGCGGATTTTGTTGCGCGGGCCGGGCGTTTTATTCTGCAACAAGAAGAAAATATTGAATGACGGCAGTCGAATTTTCGTAGGAGCGGTACGTCGTCAAAACGCGCTTCGCAGAGCTTGATGGTGAGAGGAACCGCGCCTCTCGAGGTCGTCAGGGGTGAAGTCGCTCAAACACACTGCTGAAGCATCTTGGGTCGCTCGAAGGGGAAAGCCAATGTTCAAAGTCGTAACTCCGAGCCGCAAGTTCCGCGAGGTGTCTACTGTGCGCGGACAAGTGTGCAAGGGACAAGATTGCCCGTGATTGCGAACGTATATGCCTCGTGCGACTCGTGCCTCGAGTTAGGCTGCGACGCTGGAGCTCTAATTACGCGCGGTGCCTCGCGGCAATTGATCCGCAGGAACGGAGGCGGCCAAGCGCCAAGCGGTCGTCTGGTGGGTCAACTGGTGACGGCTGTCGGCGCCTGCGCCCCACCAAGCCCAGCTGTAACATCTGAGCGCTCACTCTCAGCCTTGCAGATTCCGAAGGCCTCGCCAGGTTCAACACTCCGCCATCAGCATCAGCCAAGCGCAGCGCCATGAATAAGATCCGAGCTATCCAGGAGCTGAACAAGAGAGAAATTGAAAATGGAATGTTTGTTCTGCCGCCATGGTCCCCACCTTCCTTCCTCCCTCTTCGTCGCGCAAATCAGCTAACACGCCCAGATCACCCGAGGGCTCATGGCATGTCGACTACCGCGACACGGCGTTCATCTATTTCGGCGGTCTCCCCTACAGCTTGACCGAAGGCGATATCATCACCGTCTTCTCGCAATTCGGCGAGCCCGTCTTCCTCAAGCTCGCGCGGGACAAGGAGACGGGTAAATCCATGGGCTTCGGGTGGCTCAAGTATGAAGACCAGCGCAGCACAGACCTAGCGGTAGATAACCTCGGCGGCGCCGACATAAGTGGGCGGATCATCAGTGTTGATCATGCGCGATACAAAGCCAGAGATGATGAGGACCCCAAAGAGTTCGATGTTAGCTGGGAAGCCATGATGCGGAGAGAAGGCAAGCTCAAGGATGAGGACAGTGAGGAAGAACAAGAGACCAGGCCAATGTTGCCAGAAGAGAGCGAGTTGGCGATGCTGATCCGTGATCACGATGATGATGATCCGATGAAGGGGTTTTTGGTGGATGAGAAGAAGCGTGAGGTTGAGGAGGCGAGGCGAAGGGCAGATACGAAGGAGAGACATGGGGACAAGCATAGACAAAGGCGAAAGAGGAGGGATCAGTCCCCAGAGTCAAGGAATAAGAGGCACGGGAAAAGCGGTACAGACAGGGAGTCGAGACGACAAAGGGGCGACTCGAGGGACGGAGAGAGGCGGCACAGGCGAAACCGTGATCAGGACAGTGACAAAAGAAGGGACAGGCGGGATCGCGACGACGAGGAACGAGAGAGGCGTAGAGATAGAGAACTCTATCGCTCAAGACATGACAGGAACAGATCTCAAGAACGGCACAATGGTCAGGGGGACGATGAGCGGAGGCGGAGAAGAAGCCGCTCGCCGCGACGTCGTCAAGACTAATACGAGAAAAGCAAATCATTTGCATGTTTCAAGTGTTGCCACGACGTCGTCAGGACTAATACGAGAAAATCAAATCATTTGCATGTTTCAAGAGTTGAAGACAAAAACTAGTCATGGTATTCGATCCCTGCGCCGCCTAAATCCAAGTGATAACGCCCAACGTCCTAATACATGCAATAGTTCTTGTTGCCCCAAGTACTGTTTCCATCTCGGGGGATTACGTATTCCCCAAATATCGTTTCCAGCCCTCTCTCACGCAAAATCGTTTCCCATTCTCGCCATCTGCAAGGATGAACTTCTCCCATCGAGCATCCTTTCCGGCACCCACAACCGCAAGACTATCTTCGCTAATCCAGCCAATGATGCCCTTTGCGGGCCTCATGATTCCCAAGACTGTTCCTTTGGAAAAAGGGATGCCCCCGATCATTGTTTCGTCGCCGGCTTCAAACGGCGCAGAAGCGAATGAGTACACGTCTGAGAATACACGGGGCATGAGCGGCAGCTTGCCTAGAATGCCCCATTTTCCGGACTCGACGTCTGATGAGCCGAGACGTTGGCTTCTCTGCATCGACTGCCGCTTTGTACTGAAGACGTCAAATATGTGCAGCGTCGACTTGTCTGATGTGCAGGCAAGCATGGCTCCGGACGGCGAGAAAGCTAGGGAGAATATAGTTGCGGGGTCAATCCCTCTTCGAAGCTCTGCTACCTTGGCGCAATTTGCAGTTGAGTAAACGCGGATAAGAGTTCCAGTTTCACTCGCAGAGGCCAATAACTCTCCGTCGGGACTTAGCTGGATGGCCTTGAGGGCTGATGAGTGAGCCGGGATGATGCTGACGTTGCCCGTGGCCAGCTCAACTAGTTGAACCTGTCCAGGAGTTCGGCCTGGGAAAGCAGCGGTCTTGCCGGAGAGAGAACAGAGCCCGAGCATGTTGTCTGCTGTTTCGTAGATATGCAATAGGGTGGGAGGTTTGGAGAAGGAGTAGACACGAATGCTGTTTTGTAGAACGATCACAATTCGTTCGTGGCCCAGTTGAACTCCGCGGACGGAGCCGGGAGCTGATATTTCGAGTGCCACTCGCCCTTTCATATCGTCCCATACAACGACCTACAGCGCGAGCGTTAACATGAATGTCTTGATTGGTTCATTATGTAGACAGACCTTGTTCATGGCAAATTTGGGAGACCTGCCACCACCGACGAGAGCCAAATAGTTGGTCATACCCATCATCTGAACCAGACCAATTCCACCGTTGAAATCTACAGAATCGTTAGCTGGTCACATAAAGAATGCGCAGAGTCCGCTTGAGAGTACCCCTTGATGCTTTCAATAGACATGACTTTGTGTGAAAGACTACGTAGATTAGCTCGAACATCATGACGACGACACCATGATACATACTGCAAATGCCAGACTCAAGACCAACAGCAAAGCAGCTGCTATCGTTATTAAACGTGACAGATAAAACGGCCGTCGGATTCGACGCCTCTATAACTGGCCGCACATTCATGTTCGTGTAGCGTAGATTTTATGCAGCACGAGATGTCGACGAGATGCGGCGTCACAGAACAGGAAGATCAACCGCGTGCATAGAAGCAGAAAGACTACTGAGAAATAGACGAAGTCATATCGACGCCGGGCCTGGGATTCAAGATATGAAGGGGATGCTGGCGCCGCACAAGGGCTGCGACGAGTCGTCGTTCTGCCTGCGTGTCAGTGATCGATCTCAAGACAAGGCTGGCGTCGCCGAGTCCGCAAGAGCACCCACCACCTCTCAGCAGGTGCGCGGGAGACCACGTCCTCGCCGGGCAGCGGGACTTGGAATACAGTAGAGCTGTGGTATTCGAGGCCTGAGCTCGCAACCCCCTTGGTGATGAGATGGCGATGATGAGCGCTGAGCTGATGATGGGGGCGGCTGGGCCAAGGACAGGAATGCGGGCGAGGCCATCGACTGGTTCGTGCCGAAAAATGACTTGGTTGGCTGTGGGGTTTCCGCGACGCATTACTCCGTACCCCGGGTGGATTACTTAAGCAACATAGTCCTGGCATAACTTGATCCTATTCATCTACTAGTGTCCCGATTCAAGAAATCAAGGCATTCCAAGGAAGTTCTATTCCGTCGCCAGATAAAATTTCACAAGTCACAAGAAGATATCATAAAATATACATCGCCGGTTGCCCCATCAACAGCGGACACCACGCTGAGCTGGTGACGGTGCCCAGCTACATTTGCCTGGGTACCCGAATTGCGGCACTTCGGAGACAAAACATCAAACCCGGAACAGATCTGGGATGGTGAGAAGCTGATAAATCGTGTGGCTAATTTGGAGGATTCCTCGGCACTTGAAGTTGAGGCGTCTGATACCACCTATTGCCAGTTGGATACAGAGCAGGCGTGCTGCTAGTCGATTATTGGCGGACATTCTGCCTTTTCTCAGTATGCTTCCCTCGGGCAGCGCGCTATCCGTGTCTTGAATGCTCTCACTTGATATCGGGACGTCGAGCTACCATTCCCAGGCTCCGCCGCCCTCTCCTGTGCACCATAGTCGTCGAGCCCAGAAATCATCGTGTTTTGCTGTTCGAGTAGTGACTTAGCGAAAAGCATGGCGGGAAAACAATAGATGCGCTCTTGCTTGCCCTGCATGACTAACCCAATCCCGAGGAGGTGGTATCGTATATGACGGCTGCGGCAGCAGTGTCGTGTCGGGAAGGCAGTTGAGAACAGCGTATATTGGCCAAAGAAATGTTTTGCAACACACATATATAGCTGCTGGGGCGACTACCTGACGGAAGATCGCGTGGCCCATTCAAATTAGTTGCGTGGTATCCGGTCGTCCTGCGACTGCGATAGCTTCCACGAGCCTCGTATTCGTAGAGAAGCTACTCGAAAGGGGCTGATGGAGGTTTCGTCAAGTTTCTAGGAATTGCTGGGGGGACTGGTCCTAGTTCCGACAAGTCTCCAGCAGGGAGGTGTCCAGAGGACGTCTCTCTTCGTCGGTGAAGTCATCATAGCAACAATGAAAATCTGTGTCTGCAGTGCTGACATCAATCACAGGAGATGGATCAAACTCGATTCATGACGCAGCCAAGTCTGGAGCGAGTACGGTACGGAGTACCCCGCGATGCGTGACACGTGACGAAATGAGACGTCTTGCTGTGAAGGAGGCCCAACTGAGTACGTAGTTGGGTTCCGCCTGCGCACGGGCCTTGAAGCAAGGAGCTGGTGACTCTAATAGGGTACATTAGGTACGGAGTAACGTTATTTAAGTACCTAGGTAACTAACAATACATGACTGTCACGGCCAAGGTCTAGGGGTTGGGTTAGTTGCATTGCACTAGCACTAGAACACAGAACCACGGCTAAGCTTTAATGCAAGTGCTCAGATGCTGAGGAGAAGACGTTTTCAATATCAACGAGCTCAATGTCGTTTACTGTTTGTGGTACGCTTGTAACTCTAGCCTCTGAGCACTAAGTGCGGAGTAACGAGGTGGCGGTCTAATGAATTGGCTGGGAGGGTGGTGAAGATATATTAGTTACAACGTAAATACTTAGGTACCTCATTGCATGACTTAGGTGATGAGGTACTTGCACACCATGCCCCTGAGCCAGAATCGACCAAGTAGTCCCACCACCTTTTTCCCCAGCGAGAACTTGCCAGCCAGGTTAACAAAAAAAAAGATGGGAATTCAATAGAAAAAAAAAAAGAGGGTGGGGGGGGCACCAGGGGTTTTCCAGCACTCCGTGCCGAGGACATAAGACATAAGACTGAGCCGGAAAGAAGTGCATTAGCAGTGTGCCTCAACGTGTACGTGAGGTCCGTCGGAGGAGTAACTACGGAGTACCAACATGCTGTGAAATGCGTCGCGGTGAAAGCAGTCGAGATGAAATTACTAACCCGGCCCCAGTTCTAGAGCCCCACTTTGACATCTGGCGTCCACCAATCGACCAGGCCCCCGGTTCCCCTTTCCTGAGGCCTGTCCGGAGGAAGTCTTGTCCTCGTACGGAGTACTCCGTACTCCGTACCTGCTACTGATGTCTCAAGGGCTGCTGCTCAAGTGGCTCCTCCCTGGGCTGTAAGAGCAACTTGGCAGCGCCCACAAGACAAGTAGCAATGGCTCGACCACGCCAGCAATCTTCCGGCCGCCGTCTCCATAGCATGCATACTCGACTCCGTACTCCATAATTGCCTCTCTCCCGACTTTTCGTCTCCATCCTAGGAGCTGCTCCTAACTGCATCTCCCACGCAGCGTCATCGAGCCCGTCTTGTCGTCTCATACAACTGACGCATCTCTTCGTCGTCAGCCTTCTTCTACTCTCCCCAATTCTCAACCCCCCGACTCCAGCCAAAATGTCGTCCGCCGGTGCTGTACGTGTTTCGCAGCTTCCCACCGCCCACTCTAACCAACCCCCTGGACACACATGACCCCATCAAGCAAACTCGTCGATTTGTGAACAATTGTGTTTTGATCGCGTTGGAAGCCTGTCCAGATGCGGCACAAATCATGAGAATGGATATGCTGACTCGTCCCAATGTTTTTAGAAGATAATCCGGAGGAAGAAGAATGTCAAGAAGGGTATTCAGTTCTGCTTGATGGTCTGCGGTGCCTCGGGAACTGGTAAGTCGCACATCATTTCCTCAAGCTAAGCTTTACCAGACAGCCCCCTTGACGCTGCATCCTGAGGTATTTTCTGCAAACAAAGACTGACTTGACTCTCTCCAGGCCGAACCACCTTCGTCAACACACTCTGCAACAAGGATGTGCTCACGCATAAGAATGCCGACGATCCCACCGATGCTCACGTTGAGGATGGTGTCAAGATTAAACCCGTCACCGTCGGTACGTTTTCAATTTTTTCCCCTAAAACCTCGTCGAAACGAACGAAGCAGGTACGATCTTTACTAACACGCAATGATGCAGAGCTCGAACTCGACGAGGAGGGTACCCGTATTTCTCTGACTATTGTTGATACCCCTGGGTTTGGTGACCAGATCGACAACGAAGCTAGGTAGGTTTCCGTTGCACAAAAACAGACGCAAAGGTACATTGAAGAATCTTCTGGCTCACTTGGCTATAGTTTCTCAGAGATCGTTGGATACCTCGAGAGACAATACGATGATATCTTGGCCGAAGAGTCTCGTATCAAGCGCAACCCCCGATTCCGAGACAATCGTGTCCACGCTATGCTCTACTTCATCACTCCTACAGGCCATGGGTAAGTCCGGCGCCAAACAGAGGAATGAAAATCGGCTGTTCACATTCAAGCCTTTCTGACACGGTGCCAGCCTACGAGAACTCGACATCGAGCTCATGAAACGCCTTGCTCCCCGATGCAACGTCATTCCCGTCATTGGCCGTGCTGATTCCCTGACCCCAGCTGAACTGGCCGAATCGAAAAAGCTTGTTATGGAGGACATCGAGCACTACCGCATCCCAGTCTATAACTTCCCGTACGACATCGAGGAGGACGATGAAGACACCGTTGAAGAGAATGCTGAGCTCCGGGGCCTCATGCCCTTCGCCATTGTTGGTTCTGAGGATGTTGTTGAGATTGGTGGCCGCAAAGTTCGCGCTCGCCAGTACCCTTGGGGCGTAGTCGAGGTCGACAACCCTCGTCACTCTGACTTCCTCGCAATTCGATCTGCTCTCCTCCACAGCCACCTGGCTGACCTCAAGGAAATCACCCACGATTTCTTGTACGAGAACTACCGTACCGAGAAGCTGTCCAAGAGCGTTGATGGTGCTGCCGGAAAGTAAGTGGCTCGCGAGCTGTCGCAACTCAAAAGTGGACTATTCTACTAACACGCAGTACAGCATTGATAGTTCGATGAACCCTGAGGATCTCGCTTCACAGTCTGTTCGTCTCAAGGAAGAGCAGCTTCGACGAGAAGAGGAAAAGCTGCGTGAAATAGAGCTCAAGGTCCAGCGCGAAATAAACGAGAAGAGACAGGAGCTTTTGGCTCGTGAGTCGCAGCTTCGGGAAATCGAGGCTCGTATGGCACGAGAAGCCTCTGCTGCTTCTGTGAGCGGGCCTACCGAGGCCAACGGCGACAACGAAGCCTAGACCTTGTCCACAATACACTGGGCCTTTCTGCGATACCCTGAGGACGAAAAGGAAGACATGCGACGTTGGTCTATTTATCTGAGTCGGCGTTGGTTCTGTTTTTCTCTTCACGTCTGACTGAAAAGCAGACGAAGTTGAGTATTTTCCCGGGGCTCCAATGCAACAAAAATTCAATTTAATCCTTGTTCTACACGACGCCACTGTGCTTCTCTCGCATTTCAATATAAAGGGCTGGCTATGATTGAGACGACCGGAGGGGGATCAATATAAGAATGGAGCGGACACAAAGCCCCTTGTACTTTGCGATTTGACAATGGTTTCTCGATGATCAGAGCTATGAGCGGGAACAGCAATGGCAAGCAACCGATGCAATTAATACTGTGGTGGAGGCGGATGGACAAGAAGGACATGATGTGCGGTCGACATTGTCAGGTATATGGCCGGCATTTGCGGGTATGATATCCCCTTTTAACTGTATTGGTAGCCCATTTGTTTGCAGCCTTGTCTTTGTACCGTGTCGCCAGGCAGATTTTTCGATTTGTTCCGTTCTTTAGTTCTCTTAGTAAGCTTTCTAATGCAAAATATCGAATCCGTTACAATTCTATGCAAACTACGCACACATGCACAAGTCTTCTGGAGGAGTAAGGATGCACACAAGGGTGAATTCAAGTGACTGGTTGGCATGCACAAGCCACGGCACCATATTCGCATAACTAGGATCCATAGGAAAGAAACATGGGCCAAAGAAGGAAGCCCAAGAAACAAATGACGGACGAACGCCAACCCCAATTTCAATACAATCAATGACGGGTTCCGAGGCTTTAAGGAGCCCTCTTCTCGCCAATGGGATTTGTCCCACAGGCCCGAGTGTCCACAACTTTTCAATCTAGTTCTCCTCATGGCCGGCTCATTTGGCTGCTTTGGTTATATCTAGTTGTCAGACTGGCTATTCAGGATGCGCAAAATAGCCAGGAACAGGTTGATGATGTCCAAGTACAAGCTAATGGCGGCAGCAATCTCCTCATCGACATGATGATGGCGCATGACAAGCTGGGTATCAATAAGGATATAGGCGCTGAAAATAAGGGCAGCGACGCCTCCATACACGAGTTCAGCGGTAGAGTTGTAGGGGAAGAACATGGCCATGAAGCCAAAGAGCACCAGCGCCCAGAGAGCGCCGAAGAGATATGGCATCCATGAGGTGAAGTCGTACTTGGTCTGGCATGCAAAGAGCGTGAGGAAGACGAAAATACCGGCCGTTAAGATGACGGCGTTGAGGACAATGGACGTCTTGTAGAAGGAGACGATGACGGAGATGGAGTACGCTTCGGCCAGGGTGAAGAGAAAGAGGAAGAGCAGGTTTGTGGGGTAGGACTTGCGCTTCCAGTAGGTGAGGCCCATGAAGACCATGGCACCGATGAGCTGTGTGAATTTTATGTCTTAGTCGGGGAGCCTGTTTCGCGAGTGTGGGCGAGAGTCGCGGAGGGGGTTGTTACGTACAGATGCCCAGACGAGGCCGGGGTGGGACTAGATCCATGTTCGGTAGGCATTGCTGAAGAAGGTGAGGGAGCTGACAGCTGCGGTGGCGGCGAGTTGCACCGTCAGGATGGTGTATACTTTGCGGACGAACTGGTTCCGGATGTCGACGGTCGCCTCGGCCACGGAGCCTCCGAACTAGGCGGTGTTAAAATATGCCACGATGCGGGGAGGGGGAGGGAAGGGGGAGAACGGACTTTGAAGTCATCGGGCACATTGTCTTCGCTGCTGCGAGGGGGGCCGAAGAGGCCTTGGCTTTCGTCGCGCGATGAGGCCTCTGCGTAGGGGGGCGGCGGATGCGTGTAGTCATCAGGGTCGTGCTGCGGCGCAGGCTGGTACTTGGGGTTGGTGGCCATGGCGGCGGTTTCAGTCTTTTATTTTCTTTTCTGGTGGTTGGCGATGCGGTGATGCAGCAGTGAGAGCGGGGGCGAACAATTAATGATGGCTTTGGAGACGGTTGTGATTCCAGGTGGGCGATGGCCTCCGAGGAGGCAAATGTGGTTGACGTCGATGGTCCGACGTCATGTGAGTGTGGCTGGCGAGCGTGGCGGGTCCTTGTGTAGGGTAGGTAGGTAAGGTGGGTACCATGTTGGACGTGGAAGCTGTGCGAAGCCGTTCGAAGGCAACGTCGTCCCAGCAGTTACATGGTTCAATGCCCCCATGGCAGCCATCGCGCATCGCTCAAATGTGATCCTCAAATGTTCATCCCTTCACAGGATGCTTAGCGATCTATCTAGGCGGCTTTCAATTCTATGGGCTCCTTGTATCACCACTTTTTTACCGTATGCTGCGACAAAGAGCCTGCTAATCTTTCTTGGGTAGCCAATTCTCTGTCAGGTTTGGGAGAACACTGCAGCCACAGTGGAATGAAGAATTGTGCAAATCGCCTACGAGGTCACAAGCGGATACATTTGAGCGATTCATCGTCTACAAGACTTCAAGGGAATTTTCGAGACTATCAGCGGTGCCTTGGAGCCACGAAAGTCCAGGCTCTAGCCAAGTTCCAGGCACTGCTTAAGTCACACCGTGAGATCCTCTGACAAGTCTAAACTACTACCTGACGGATCCTGTGCAGAAATTGCAATCAATTCGGCGAAGAAAGCTGCTACTGGAGGCATCCGAGAGTGTCGAGGGCGACAAGAAATTTCTCAAATCATAGTGCCTCTGTCAACGCTTTGTCGTTCCTCGATGTAGCCGGTAAGGAGATTAAAGTTGATTTGGAGAGCTACGGGACTGAGCTTGCGATTGATTGTGTGTTGGCATTTCACATGGCCAGTATCTCAACGACACTATTTTCACTTGCTCTGAGCTAAAGCTCGAGTGGATACAAGATCTTGTCCCGATTGATTGGATCTTCTCACCAACTCTCAGTTAGCCAAGAACCGAATCATAGACAGTATTCGTGCGTTAGCCGTTGGGGCAATGCCTAGTTGGCGAGCTTTCCTGTCTGTTTCTGCCCGAGAACGCCGTGGATCTCAATGACGACCGTATTGACCGGATGGCCACTGAAAGCGAAAGTGCTGGACTAGATCGAGCTCAGAACAAAAAAGAAGCTAGCCGTCCTTGAGAGTGGGAAGAGTGAGCTTAAATTCTGAAAAGCCAGCGTTTGCCGAGTAGAAGGAGGATGCGACGGCGTGATATTTCCACTCCCATGGTGCCTCCTCTTGGACCAATTCGCCATTGTGACTGCTACCAGTGATAGGCAGTTCCCATGGCGAAATATTCCATAGTTTCTGCTCTCCATACAAGCGAGCTGGGAGCTAGACCATCGGCAAGGGGCCAGTCACGAATCGCTCAGAGTCCTAGAGAAGAGCCTATGAGAAAGGTACGTGCGGTCGAGGCTGAAGCCGCAGGGCTGAAAGAGGCTTTCCTTCCGGTACTAACTGGAGCAAATAGGAAGAAAAAGAAGGCGAGCTCTCGACAAGCGGCAGAGCCAACTAAATGGGAGTGCGAGCAGGAATCCGGGCGCTGGCGTAGGCGTTTACTCGATAGATGCAAGACGACAAGCACTTATATTCATGCTCCTGCTTTCCCCCTCGGGCAAAGACGCAGGCAAAGCTCCGTCGCAGATATATCCACACAGGAATCGGTCCTGTTTCAAGCCTTCAAGCAGCCAAGCTCAACATTGCAAGGCTATCAAAGCCCCCGCAAAGCAAGAAGCAGCCGTTCTTGTAGCAATTCAAATACACGGCGTGGTGACCCCCCCTTTCGCGCCCCCTGACTGCAGGGATCTTGCATCTTCTCCGCTACATTTCCTCCGATACTCTTGATTCAGCCATCAATGTCCTCATAGAACGTCAGCCGACCTTGTGTTATTGGCACAAACGCCAACAGCTGACGCAAAAGAGCCTCCTTAGAGGCCGTCGGCCGTTGGGAGCGCGATGGGCTGCCCGGCGATGTGACGTGGGAACTTGACCGTCAGGCTGACAAGGCTTGAATCGTAGCCGCAATCCCAACAGCACAGCCATGTTTCACCTGAATCGTGTTACTTCCCGAGTTGGACAAAGCGGTCCTATTAAGTCGTCTCCAAGGAGTGGTTTCTTGCGTTAAGGCTGCAGGGAGGCACGTCGGCTGCCTCCAGGGATGAGGTCGGTACGCAGCATGCACGGGTTGATGCAACTATCGCCACCGGAACACACCCCCGTCAGTCCTTGGTAAAACCACAATGGTGTCGTCGTAACGGTACTTTCCCGGGAAATGAGTTCAGGGCCCTGTGGAGAGGAGGCAAATCTGCAGCCCTCTACAGCCTTGCCTTGACAACCCCCATCAGCTGAGGATAGCATTTTGTGGAATAATTTGGGAAATTTGGCGATTTTCAAGCAGGGAGAGCTATTGGTCGTTGCGTAATGGGCCGTCAACTGTCCGCTGCTGTAAGAAGACAAAGCAAGGTATTCATCATCGCATTTTACCGAGTGTTGATCGGCGGACGCATGTCACGGCCTGTGACGCTTCACCTAGGTCAACGCCATGCCAAATCGCTTCCAGGATGAATTGTATTTCTTCTCAGTGGTATTTGTAGTGCTCTCGCCTCGCCACCAGGCTTGTCAACTCGTCAGTGATCCCAATTTGATGGCTGTATAGATCCTCCGCCTTCACTCTCGTACTCATCCGTCTTGCACCCGGGTCCAGATTCCCTCACGAACGGTTGCACACCGACTTGATAGGTTCTTGTAGGGGCAGTGCTTTGGAAAGACGCCATATTTGTGTGTACAGGGTATCGTAGCTCTGGTCTTCTACCCGCACCGCTTCCCTCGGCGTATTCACGGTACTGACCTGTAAGCCCTGTAAGCCTGGACGAGCTTGGAAGGCCCCTTGGGAAATCGACTCCTGTATTTTGATTGGACAAGGTATAATCGACCAGATTTTGACTTGTCCCAGATACTTCGCCAAAGTTGTCCGCTGTTGAGACTGAGGAAAGGGTCATAAGCGACCCTATTGGATTTCTGTCCTCAACCGATGGTATGCTGTCAGTAAGATACGTTGACGATGATTCGTCGCTGGGAGAGTCCCCCGGGATATGAGCATTCACTCCGCCGGTGACAGCGATCCCGGGAAAGTCGGAACTAGTAGAGAGAGGGGATTCACTCGTTGAGCGAAGCCGTATTAGCTCTATCTCTAATTCTTGGTTACGTCTAATCAGCTCCTGAATGACAGCGTTCTCGTCCCCTCCACCCCCAGGACGGATATTTCTGAGGCTCTCCAGTTCTCTTTCCAGACGCTGAATATGCTGTCTGGTCCTTGCGCGACTTGCTCGTTGGCTTCTGCGATCATTTTCTCTCTTGCGTTCACGCTGAGCCACTGTCATGCCAGAAACAGCTCGGTTGCCTAAGTTACGAAGATCGTGGATTAGGAAAGGGGGGGGGCATTTGATGCACCAACGGGTTCTCCTGGAGCTTTCCCCAAATTCTGTATCCAATGTATCGTCTTGGGCGGCCGGTGGTTCTGGCATTTTTGGTGGCTAGTCCTCAATGCTGTTCGGTGCTCGGCGCAATGTTAACGACCCAGGGCTTTGGATCTAACAAATGGATACTTAGGGTTTCCCGGCTTCGTGTTTTTTGGGGATGGACAAATGTCCTAGCTTTGTTGCGCATAAGTCCTACTAACCATGGAAATAACGAAAGGCTGACGACGGTATTATAGACGATGGCTTCATGATTGTCCTTTTTTTGTTTCCGTCTTGTATCCTTGCCTCGAAGCCTCACCGTCGTCAAATCAACATCTCGTCCGGACGCGTCGGCGATACCAGAAACTGGCATGGTGTGGGCCTAGTATTCGTGATCAAATACTAGGGTACATGATCCGTTAAACGTCAAACCCTTGGCCATGCTGCCGGGCTCAAGCTTGCTCCGACAAAACCTTACATCCCTCGTCGAGCTGAATACCGTATGTGTATACTACTCCGTACAGACTGGCGGAAATTGTTGCAGGCACTGGCGTGTTCGTATGGTTGCAATTGACTACCTACCTAGAAGCCGAGAACCGAGGTAGGGGTTCGGCGTTGCCGCTGGGAGTGTGTCTAGGAATATCTCTCATACGTCTCTTTCCAACTCTTGCCATTGTCTATTGGAACGGCCAAGGAGGGGCGCTTGGGTGTGTTGAGAGTACAGCAGTAGTGCATCTTCTCGATATTTCCTAGAAGATTTATCTTTTGCTACCAAGCGTGATTGGCGCGTACTTGACTTCGGCTGGCAACAGCGACATAGTTACTATGGGTGTCAGACTGTGGAGGTTAGTGGCTGATGAGCTCCGTGCTGAAAGCTTACTTCTGACGCAAAAATGCACGAAGCAGGGCCGCTGCCAAGGAGCGGCGACAAAACGTGCCGTTGATGGCACACACTGCGTTGGGCCCTGTCAGACGCCGACATGGGGGAGTGGCCCCCTCGTGGACATCGGCAAGACGGCCGCCTGGTCACAATCCCGAAGCCAGCTCGAGGCCTGGAGGGCAGGCCAGCATCGGAAGCTCCATTACCCCAGCAACTCGGTGGCCGTCCACATGACGCTCGGCTTCGGCGAGACGTTCGTCTACCTCAATCTCCTGTACTACGTGAGGTAAGAATCCCCTTCCCACAGCGGTAGCGGTCGACGGGGCTCCCAACTTGCCGCCGCCGCCCCTGCTTACGCCTTGTCAGCACCCTCATGCTTCACCGCGAGTACTTCCCCTTCCTGCCGACCCCGGAGTCGGAGCCACGGGGTCCAGTCGACCAGCCCATGCTGGGGGCGCCCGCCCCCGAGGGCTGGTGGGACGACAGCTCCCGACTCCTCTTCGGCGCGGCAGAGCACATCGCCGCCATTCTACACGAGGCCTCCGAGTGTGGCGTGCATCTCATGACGCCCTTTGCCGGGTTCTGCGCATTCTCAGCCGGCTACCTCAACCTCTACGTGGCGAAATACCCCCGAATGAACCTGGGCCGCAGCCCGCGAGCAAGCGACTGTCTCAAAATGTGTCTCGACTACCTGGAAAAGTTTCGACTTGTCTGGAAAATCGCCGACGGATGGGTAAGCCGCCCGCAAGCATGACACGACCGTGGCCACCGTTGCGCTAACATTGAGAGGGCGGCACGCGCAAGATCAAAACGATACACCATGCATCCGTGCTCTACGAGCGAGCAACCGAGGACCGGACACGATACCAGGGGCGCACACGAGCAGACTTTGATACTCTACACCAGTCTGTCCACGAGTTCCGTGTCGTGGATAGATCCGACGCGCATACTCGGGAGATTCGGGGCGCGGAGCGGCCCTCGGCGCAGGCGACTTGGCCGGTTCAAGGGCACGAGCACGAGCACGAGCACGAGCACGAGCTCGACACTAATACCTTGTTGAACCAGCTTTTCGCGGAAGTCAGCAATAACCTCGACGAGCAGGGGGCCTGGTCTCAATGGTGGCCGGCGATTGATCAGGTGGATCTTTAATGAGCTGCGTAATTACATCCGGGGTTTTTTTTTTCGTTGAAGCTTCCAATGAATGAGTGACGACCTTTGATTTTTTTGATTTTTTTTTTAAAAAGGGCTGTAATATCTGGTTTTCTATACATGTCCTATTTTTATTTCCCGGTCTAGAAAAACAGTCAACAGATAATGCACCTCTTCATATGGCTCCCCTCCCGTCACCGCCAACAAATGCATACCTGTCGCGTCAACCATTCGCCGTTTCTCCTTCCAATCACGCCTTTGCAAAGACCTTTCTCGAGTTCATCAGGCGAACAGCAAGCATAAAGAGCATGCCGACAAAAGGCGCCACAACCACGCCAAGAGGACGTTTTTTGAAGCAGCTAAAAAGGCACGTAAATGGCGTCTGGATTCTGTACTAGATCTACTAGAAATTTGGGACGAGAAGGGTGTACATTATAGGCGAAGAGGTTAATAGCGTTATTAGGTTGAAAATTGGCCCGCCTTGGTGTCCGGCCCGCCTTGCTGTCGAGCACCACCTTTGGTGGTGAGGGCTTTTGCTAGCCGAACCACATAAAGTGGGGCGGGCACGATTAGTATCTCCATCTTGAAGCAAAACGTCAATAAACGACATCTGAAATGTTGTGTCGATTAGATGGGTGGACCCTGGGGAGAAAGCGGATACCGTGAATGCCCAAGCCTCGACGTTGTGGCACTCGGAGGTTGCCGACATGAAGCAACGTCAATGTGCAGTCACCAGTGCAGTTGGCATTCGGTGGTGGTGCAGGTCGAGACGAGATGTTCTTTGCTTCAATTCATTGTTGTTGGTCACTCCATCTCGAGCAGATGTGCGGCTTCACGTGCAGCGGTCATTGCTTTGCTCCTCCCTCAACCTGACACGGCCGTTCCTTCCTCGTCTGGCGTCACCGATTGCCAGAGAAGTAATGACTTGGCAATCGAGTAGACAGGGTAGGCACGACCAAGCCGTTTTTGGATGATGTCCAAGTCAAACGAACACAGCATCAGGCACGCAGATAACCGACTCCGACTTTTCATTGCATTACCAACCTAGAAAGTTGCGAAACTTCATCTTCATCTTCATCGTCATGGCGAACACCTCCCATGCAGGTCCGACATGGACGATCTGACACTCCGAAACCCACGCTCCCTAAATTCAGTACATGGGATATGTCTTGATGTAAATATTCTCCGAAACGACTAGGTCAATGCTTGCTGCAACAGTACAGGCCGCTTCGCAGGTTCGAAAGAAAGAGAAGCGGAGTGGGACTCAGGCTCATCTTCACCTGCCAGGCGATGTCCGCGTCGGCAACACCGACTTGTCGGATGCGAACACTCCAGAGTTCAACTTTTGTCGGCAAATATTGGCCATCGAGGGTTAAGGCCTAGCGCCGTTCGCCCACGAGTTCATCGGCGGCTCACACCAACTTAGCCATCGCGTTGTGCTGGATTAAGTTAGTGCAGATCATCTTTGCGGAACAAAACGAAGAGGGAGGAGAGACAAATAAATGGACAGTCCTAACATGGCTCATCCAACCACTTACCAGATGAGTTTTTGGTTGGCATGCACCGAGTAGACCAGAGCCCTCTGCGATTTGCTGAGGTATCTTGACATTAATCCCCGACAAGGGCCCGAAGGGGATTTCTGACCCTAAACGCGCGGCAGTTTACACAGTGGTTTTATTCGTACGACATCTATTCAAACCCGTTTTCTCGCAAGAAGAAAAATGCCTGCCGGTTTGGGCCAGACCGACAAACAAACGGAGTGCGCGTCTATGCATCGCCTGTGAATAAACGCACGGCAAAGTCCTTCACTAGGATGCAAAGGCTAGCTAGAGCCTAGCACTTGTAGACTGGTGCTACTGTTGTTAACGCCTATCCCCGCGAACCCATGTCGACTGAGACTCACTGGGTAGTACCCATGATGGAAAGCAGAGTAAGTCTCGAGGTGCAAAGCATTGGGATGTGACTTGGTGGATACGAAATGCAGATGCTCTGTTTGGGTTTGAAGTACTGATAGTTGCCCAGGGTCCTTTCTACATGGTGCATCTCAAGTTTACGTAGGGCTCCGCACTCACCGAAAGTAGCGGAACGGGCACCGTTTGAGCATGCAATATGCTCACCACAGCCAAGTACGAATCCTCGGCTACCGGCCCGTCTCTTTTACTACTACTGTGCCGTTGGGAATCCATGCGGTGAGAAGCATGTAGGGCCATCTAGCTTCCTGTAGCGCACCTCGTGCGCCTCGTCGCATGTATGGGAGGTGGCTTTTTTTTAGTCATTGGTCACCGGATTAAGCTTGGTCAATCAAAAGCGCAGCCTCCAATCTTGGAAGAAATTGGGAAGAGTGAGCTCTGTCGCGTTTGAAGACCCGACTGGCCGGATCAAAAGAGAGTCGAAAGCAACGACGCGGAGATGGATGCTTTAGAAACTTGTTAACGCGGCATGGCCGCGGCCGCCACATTTAACGACTTTCAGCTGCAGGAATAAAAAGCCCAGCACAGTCACAAGCACAGTCCACTCGAGCAAAAGAAGGTCAAGAACGGCAAGGGGTCCCTCACCTCGAGTCAAGACAACGAGAGAGTCCTGTGGCAAGGATGGCCAAACCGACAATAACACTAGTATAACTGCTCGTTAAGGAGTAATAGTATTACTTACCACAGTACTTCAACGGTTTGTTTGGAAACCTCGCCGTTTTCCCGCGTTTTCCCCACAGGAACCTTCAACGAGCTGTATCCAGATTCCAAGCTGGGAAGAGCATGGGTCAGCCCTTGACTCGCCGGTGGAGGAGCTGGCCCACCAACCCAGGATGTTGGAATCCATTGGACACTGAAATTTGCATCGAGGCCATTCCCGCGACAATCCCGTCGTCCTGAGGACTTGCGTTGGTGGTGTCACATTCTCAGCACTTTCTTTGTACGTAGTACGGAGTACGCTCTCGTGATTTCCAATAGCAATCCGCCATTTTGTCTTGAATTCTAAGGCTGACCTAGCCTCGAACAGAGCAGTCTTAACGCCCCAGCTTTGGCTTTATTGCCAGGTTTAATTATTCAACGACAAGCTCCTTCAGAATTTGTTCGCCCTTGACAGCGTCGTTCAACGTAATGGTGGAAATCGACGTCCTGACTTTTTGACGATTTGACATGGACCGGTTCCGTGTCCACCGTGGTAAACCGGGCCCTTTGCAGCCTTATTAGTATTACTGGCACCAGGTTTGTCCCAGGCGCTTTGCATTTCATGACGGTGCTCGGGGGGCTGAGGGCAGCCACTTTGTCAGTGTGTGGTCGTTAGAGGCACGCCACCTTGTATCTTCTCCTCGTTCCTTTTTTACGAGCCTTTTGATCGGCGGCGACGGCATAGATTCAGGTTGACCGTTCACCTGCGGGAAAAGAAGTGAATGCGTACAATCAAAGTCCACTCATTTCCTTGTTAGGAAGCTGGGGGAGGGCACGGGCAGAGAAACCTGTTGTGATGCCGTGGCTGCCTCCATCTGCACGCCATGCAGGCGGTGTTTTGGTCAGAAATGACGGTGACCATCCAAAGCTGAGTGGCGGAAGCGCCCGAAGGACGGTAACTTATCCCCCAGAGCTATGAGCATGAACGGTGAATAGTTAAATGAGCGCAGAGACATCTGCACTGTTTGCACAGAAAAAAGGGCTTGGCCGTGGATACAAATGCTCCTATATCGCTTTCTACGATAAGTACAATCGTCTCACCAAGCGGGCTTCGCTTTCAAGTTTGAAGCATCAATACCTCCCAAATATGTCTCCTGCTTTGAGGCAAAACACTCCTGAGCAAGTGAATATTAATATGACCAGATCAAGGAGTAAGTATCCTCGATGGAACATCAAGCTCAATGTCCAAGTTGAACACGACTGACTTGTGCTACTTATTTTGGACCGAATTAGAAACGCTATCTCCGTCGCAGCTTGAGAACAAGAGAGCCCACGACCGTGAAGCTCAGAGAGCCAACCGTAGGAGAGTTAAGGAAAGAATTATCCAGCTGGAGCAACAAATTGAGGAGAAACGTGGTCATTTAGGCTCAAGTAGGGTCTATCACGAGCTTCTCCGTCGAAACCTACTTCTCGAGGAGCAGGTCGCGAGGCTCAGGAGCATCCTCACTACCTCCTCAACTGCAAAACTATCCACATTGGGTTCATCTCCAGGCTCTGTCCTGGAGGGGCTTGGGCTTGACGACTACAGCAGCTCGGTGGATTGTTCTTCTCACGACACGTGTCACTATTTTGTTCCACACTGCAGCGTCTCCGACGTCACAACCCGCCTTCAACCCTGCGATTCAACAACGGCCAAGGCTTATCACTCACTACCCATCTCCCTAGATGGAATAGATGTCGGTAGTTCGACAGCCATGTGGAAGCCCCCCTCGACTATTACGTACCATATACCAGAGACACCAGGCGCTAGGATCTTCCATAATGTTCACAACGGTCTACTCCCCGATTGTAATGTCGATACCTTGACGACCAAATCCGGTGGTATTATGAGGCGACATCGCGATGCAGGTCGTAGCGAGAGTTACAAATTCCAAATGCAGGCTGTTGACGGCGGCTGGGATCTCGACAAAATGGAAATGCGGCACTATCAGGATGAAGCCTGTTTTGGGGAGATAGCACCCACACTACAGCCGTTGTCAGCGTATCATCCTGGACACAACATGGATAGCCACGAGCTGGCACGTTTCCATGATCCCAAATTGGCGTACAATTAATGACACAAGGCAGAACCGATGTCATTCACTGCTCATATCTTTGCACCTCCGCAACTGGAAATTGTTTTGCGTCATGTCCAAACACCTTTGCTCCAACAACTCAGCTACGGCGTTTATGACAGTTAGTTATGCATGGCTCCGCTTTGGGAAATACAATGTCTGTGATTCCGCCCGCCCACGCGCAGATTCACTGCAGGAAGCTACGTGGCAGCGGTGTTCCTCATCGATTATCCCTCCCTCCTGGTGCATAGACGAGATGTATACGTACAAGGAGAATACTAGGGTGTCGATACGAAGCAATACACGAGACGTGAACCACGGCTCTCCAAGAAAAATCGCGACCAAAGTATAGCCCGGAGCATGCCAGGTCACGGATTCTCTCTCGGAGAAGCTATGAAGTAGTTCATTCTCATGTCTGGTGGACCTATTCTGCCCACTCTGCCACCTAAACCACGAATAGTCTGTGATGGCTACTTGCCAGGATGCTTGGGTATAACCTCTTACACATGGCATGTTTCTAATGCTGCGGAGCAATAATGCATCCCCAAGCGTGGAACTAGCAAAGTAATACCCTATGCAGCTCTCTCATGAATCTGTCTACATCCATCTTGCGACAGCGTAAGGCGACGCGGCTCAGGAGGAAAGTGAGTCCATACGCCATTTTGGCCGCGAAGCAAACAGGCCGATTGTCAGTTCCGACTTCTCATATTGAGGACACCAGCTAAGCGGCAGCGTCATGGTATCGCTCCCCTATTAAAATCCAGTATTGGGTATTCGTTTTGCTATGAGTTACTGAATGAGGCTGACTGGGACGAACTGGTACCGCATGCTCGGCAACCGTATCCTAGACGTTAGCCGGCATCGGGGTTTTGCTGATGCCCGACAGGGCCACGACTTTTGAACGATGGCGCAGCGTGGTAGGCACCTTGATGATTTGCGAATGCAGAACACAAGAAAATGCGACTCCATAATGTCAGTCATCAACAAAGAAAGTGTATGGCAATATAACAAGGGAGGAGGCTCCCCGAACGAGCACGCTTGGAAAACGCCTCCATGGTAGCACCGACCGCCGCGCCACTTTGTTCCACAGCCATACATCAGTTCAAGGAAAGAATGAAGCACAGGCCCGGCAACGGAATTTGATTTGACACGATGGGCCGTCAGTTGGTTCAAAGGGACAAGGAGCTGAAAATCAGCAAGTCGGAGACCGGCTGGGATCGGCCAAATTGACACGACCCTTCGCGAACCGGATTCCAAACCACAGAAAACACTAAAATGAAGTCCACAAGTCCCGTGTCGAGGGTTCCTCGGTGTCGCCTCAGTGCATAAGCTGACGACGCCTTTCATCGGCGGCGGGTTGCAATGGGTTTCATATCCGATTGATTCCTGGACACGGGACCAGCCAACGGAGGGAAACTTGCGGTTCGTCGTTCACTGCCGTCTGTGGAGGATCCGGGCCTGAGACACGCATGCGGGGTGTCCAAGGTTTGCAAAGTAAAGTTGTCACGGAGTTTGATTGCTGTCTTGTTTAGCAAAAAGAAGAGTAGAAGTAGAAGTAGAAATTCGCTGCTGAAAACGGCTGTGGACAGGGGTGTTGTGATTGGTTACAGGTGTGGGGCCAATGGATAAGGGTTATAGTTTAATTTAAGGTCCAGTTCCCTGGAGTTGGACCTTCCAAACGCACTAATTTCTTGCCTTTTACCAGAGATTACCGTGGAATGGCCAAAAACACTCCAGTACAACAATCTTTGGAACCTCACGGATTCGATTCCTGCCGATTTTTTTTTTTTTTTCAACGGTCTCGTTTTCCATTTTCTCGCCTTACTCTCTCTTGTAAACTAATGCCATGGATTGAATCCGCTTCTCGCTCTCTCTTTCTTATTTTCTCTTTTTCTTTCCAGTGGTTATTGGGATGTGCTGCAAATTTGCAACGCAAAAAAAGACCTCTATGTGTTATCCGAGTAAATATGTGTAGTATTCCAATTGGCGACCGGCGTTTAGCAGTTCGATTCTTCTCCTCACTACATTTTCTTCTCACTTCGGGGCATTTGCACGTTTGGTCTCTGTCGATTTTGGTTGGGCCATGACCAGTGACAGTCAAGGCATCGAGCACTTGAGATGCTGGATCAAGACGAAACGCGCATCGCAGACTGAGCCGGCGGGCATACGAATTTGGAGGTCATTCAAGGCATTTGGCCGACTCATCCAGTCGCGACGTCTTGCACGTTTGCCATCGCCATTTGGTCGTCGGTCATGCATGATGCATGGACCATGATGAATCATGGGGATGACAGATGGCGGGGTCCATCTATTATCCGTCCGGCGTCAAAGGGCCATCACCGCTCAGTCCAGCCCTTCATCATCCAAACATGCCAGCGTCGCTTAATCTTCTTCTTCCAAACACAACGACCTGGCCCAAAGTCGGCCCCAACAACAGTCATGTCCGTGGAAAACGCCAAAATCCTTTCCACGGGCCCCCTAGTGCGGCAATTTCCCTGAAACGACGTCCAGTTTCTGAATGCCGACTTACCAGTGCGCACGCAGCCCGACAATGAGGCCCGATGGATCAAGTTGGTCAGGTACGCCGTCCAAACCTCCCGCCCGCCCGGGTCGGTCACCGTGCAACCGGGCTAACCCATCCAGAATCAACTACCAGGATGCCAACGGCACCCGGCGAACCTGGGAGTCTGCCGAGCGAAGCACTCGCCCTGCCGACACGGAAATCGACGGTGTCGGCATCGTGGCCATCCTCGACAAACCCACCGGCAAAGAAATCATTCTCCAAAAGCAGTACCGCCCTCCTATCGGCATGGTAACCATCGAGGTGCCGGCCGGCCTCGTCGATGCTGGAGAGTCGGCCGAACAGGCTGCCGTGCGCGAACTCCGCGAGGAAACAGGCTATGTCGGCGTGCCCACGGAAACCTCGGCCATCATGTACAATGACCCAGGCTTCTGCAATACCAACCTGCGCATGGTTCACATGAGCGTGGACACGAGTCTGGCGGAGAACCAGAACCCCAAGCCGCAGCTGGAGGACGGCGAGTTCATCGACGTCTTCACCGTCAAGCTGGCCGACCTGTGGGACGAGTGTAAGAAGCTGGAAGCGCAAGGGTGTGCCATCGATGCGCGCGTCGGGACCTTGGCCGAGGGCGTGTTGCTGGCCAGGAAGTATGCGCTCTGAGCACGGCGATTAGACCACTTCCCGATAGACTTGAGACACTTGCGACGGCGACAGCGGGTTTATTATAGACACAGACGCCAAGTAGTCCCTTTCTTGCTAATATTGGCATTTGCCGCCGTGTTGTGGTTTTCTTTTTGCGCGCGCGCCACTACACTACAGCCTCTTTTCTCTCCTCGGTGCCTCCCATAGAGCGAGCGCACCGAGACACTTTGCATCTCGGGCCCCCTCCTTCCAAAGATGCTGCATGGGGACAAGCTTCAACGTGATACTCTCCCCCTCGGACCGCAGCCCCGTCAAGCGCCGGTTCCACCTGTCCAGCTCCGATCTAGCGACCTTCCTCTCGTAGCTATACATGGTGATGTGCTCGTCGCAGCCCCCCGCGCTGGGAAACACGGCCGGGGGGGGGGATGCTCGTCGCCGTCGTGCGCCGTCTGACCGGCAGCGTCCGCCGCCAGGTCGCTCAAGCACACGAGCTCGTCGGCGGGGGTTTCCACGCCCGGCTCCTCCTTGATTTCCCTTGCCGCGGCACCCGTCGGCACGCGCGGCTGCACCGTGAGCACGATGTAGCGCTCATCCGAGCCTGGCGCGACGTCGTCCGGTCTAAGCGTCACCAGCAAGGCGACGCTGGGGCCGCGAAGCAACACGTTGGCGGCCAGCTCGTTGCTGACGGATGCGGCTACTTTCATGAAGCCGATGCGCGGACCGCTCTAGCGAGCGCGTCGGACAAGAAAACTGCAGCATGTGGCTTTTCTGGATCTGGGGGCGATTTGCCTTCTTTAGAGACAAAATCTCCTTGGAACATTGGTATACCACCGACAAAAGATTGTCTAGACGGGTTAATCTCAGCTACGCCTAGGAAGTCGGCAGCGTATCTTCCCGCGTGAGAGTCTGCGACAGGTATTTTGATTAGCCCTGGAGTAAGGACACAATAAGGTTATTGGTGGGTTCCCGAGCGGCGGGAGTATGATATCCTTCACGCTGTTTCGGTCTGCAGGACGCCCGGCAGCTCTGCTGTCGCACTGCTAGTGAGGCATCGATACACCAGTGCGAATGAATTGGGGGCTTCCCGCGGAGCCTGGCGTCGGGTGCGTCTTTGTTAATCTTCGGCGTGGTCGTCGTGGGCGGAAAGGCCAGTACGTCCGAACCACAGACCTTGTTCAGAGAATCAGATCGATGGTGAGCACGGTGCCTTTGCCAGATTGCCCGGGCCCGGAATTGAAGTCAATATATCGGCATTTGATGCCAATTCTCTCGTGTTCACCAGTGTCGATGTATAGTCGGCTCGAATGGACGAGAGGGACACAGTTGACCTTGGGGTCCATCCTAGGAGCTGCCAAAGTCTTGGCGTGGATGCGACTTGGTTGACGTCGGTTCATTTTGGCACTTTCTTGGTCGCTGAGGTCTGAGAGTTGGAGCTGGCAGATGTTATCTGGCTGGATTTTCTTAGGTGAGACGGCGCGGTTGCCGAGACAATCGCAGCCGCGCGTGCATCAACCCCATGGACCACCCTGCAAACGTGTCACACGATGGCGGTGGGCATCCAAGCTAGATATCACGTAGATGATACTAAAAAGCCTTCTCTTGTACGCTCGATTGAGCTGGAGCGAGCTGCGCCTTTAGCGCCTTGACTAGCTGCCTGATAGTGTAATTAGGGTTCTTTCTTTCCAGCTCAATACAGGTTGCCATATATAGGTTTCGTTCGATCGAAACAGAGAACCAGCCACGTATAGCGATTACGTGATCCTCTTTGCGTATCCAGTCGGCACGGTCATGATCGTAGTCCATATCCAATATCTTGGAGGCCTCAGTGATCGTCCAATTCTTAATATCATGCCTATACTTGTTAAAGAGAGCTCTGGCTTCGTCAGCCGTAGGGCGCTGGGGCTCAGGGAAACTATCAGTCTCCTGCTCCGGTAGATTAGGGTTTATATCATCCCAAAGCTTCCTTGCCCTACAATGCTCGCGCAGTTCCCAGTACCAATCCTGCCAATCTGATGGCCAAAGAAGCAGCTTCCTTGGGGCCACAATAGGACCTGTGTCTTCTGGCTTATCATTGAAGAGACTCATGGTGGGCTCAAAATAGAGATAAAAAGCGTATAACACGCACAAAGAAAGCTTGATGCGCTGGTGGAAGGAAGTTTCAGGAGTCAAACGACACCTTCCAGGCACGTAGATGATACTAAAAAGCCTTGATTGAGCTACTCCGTACAAAAGAGAGAATTATGTGCGCCCTATAAAAAGGGCCGCTCGGCTCCACGCTTCGTGTGCGCATTATCTTAATTCCGTGCGCTTACGTGGCCAAATACCCTACTCCGTACTCCGTACTGTGTATGTTAAGCCGTGCCGTGCGACAAAACGCGCCCGCATTCTGGACCCATGGAGTTTGAACGAACATTGCCACACAGACAAAGACTTCTGAAATGGAAGCACGAAAGTCTATCAGTGTTGGCCACATGAGTCATGACGAGCAGCAGAAGGGGGCCAAGAGCTCAGGCGCAGTTCGGGCTGGTCAAGAGACTCAGTACACCAATGAACCCATCGGTCTGACATGTATTGACGCCGGCGTAAACACGTCTCCTCGTCCTGCACAGCCAATGGGCTGACAAAAAGCTTGTAACGAGGCTCATTGCTGGCCAGTCCCCAGCCTGTACAACTGCGGGTTGAGTTGGGTACAATGACGAGAACATTCAACGTACCCTGCACTTTCAACATGATGACGTCCTGCGAGGCGCTTCTAGCCGCCACTGCACCTGGCGAAAATGGTCCATTAAATGCAAATTGAACCCAAGATAGAAAGTCGACCACTGCTGCGCGTCAGAAACAACGATCAGAACAAGTTGCTCAAATAGACGGGCGTTGGGAGAGAAGAAGGGGCACAGCCTGTGTTGGGTAAGCTGAAGCTAGCTAACTGACTTCAACACGCGCAAACGCATCCTCATTGGCCATGGGGCGTATTGCTCGAAGCTAAAGTTCAAGGTAGGGTAGTGGACTTGGTTTCTTGGCAAGATTGGCCAGCGCCAGGTGCCACATACGAGGGCTATCATCACAAGACCCAGGGGAAAGGAAGGTTGCTGCACAAAGAGAAGTCCGTGGGCACGAGGATCTCGGAGAAGCCGCAGAATCTTCTTCGATACCAAATCGTGTCATTGCAGTTGAATTTAGTTGTTGGCCCAAGCCTGTATCCGGTGAAGCTAGTATAGACATGGTATTCTCTACCCATATATTGGTTCTTCCTCCGCCCCGAGGTGACAGCTGGAGGCGGTCCAGCATGGAAACTAGGACCAGGTCTCGCACGAATGCTGGTGACACATGGGCTTGGTCAAAGACCTAGGGCAGAAGGCTGCCTCGTGGATAGAAGCCTCTGACCCAGGGACATTTTAGAAAAGCAAGGACCTTTAATATCAATGTTTTTTTTATGTGCGAATCGAGCCAAAGTGCTCCAGTTACTTAGACGAGCCCTTGTCACGCCCACTAGGAGGCAGCTATATTCCGCCCGCACCCTATCGACGGGTATCGATGCACACTCCGTTCTGATATCGCCGGAGCCTAGTTTCGTCGGGTGTGCGGAGATATAGACAGGCTTAGACGGAAAGCCGGAAAGCCCGCCAAGACTTCCCACGCCATCCCGAATCAATAATAGCCAGACGTAAAGCCTCTGGTAGCGGTCAACCTCGAGAGTTGCCGGCAACGACGACATCTTCCAACACACACCATTGTAAACAGAGCTCAATAGAGTCCTGCCTACCTGGGTCGAATAGTGGACGGATTCTACGTTTTCACAACGCGTAGTAATCAAATTGGTAATGCATGACGACACTTGAGACAACAGGCTGGGTCAGGGAGGGAATTCCCGTCGAGCATGCCTCGTCGGTGGCATATGATGGCATTTAAGATCTTGGTCTACGCCGCCGCGGAGGGATCACTCAAAGCAGGTGATAGATAGGCAAAACTGCGTCGACGGGGAGAGCAGACTCGGCGCAATGATATGCCGCACCGTCGACGACCTTCCGCCGTAGGACGCTATGGCCGCGCGTTGTTTATATGACAAGGCGGTTGAGCCCAGTGGCTTGTGTGGCGAGTTACTATCGCACGGACAGCTCGGCGGAAAGCATACGTCCGCCTAGTTATAAGAGTACCTACGGCGCTTGCTGGGTGGTAGAGTCGCTGGCAACACCTGATTTACATGGGGTCAATGTTTCGTGGGGAGGTCCTTGGGAGATAGTGTGGGCGCAGGATGACTGCGCAGCCTGTGCTTCTCTGCAAGGCGGACAAAGACACCCACAGTTTCTTCGTGGCTTTCGTGGTAGACGAATCGGCGCATTGTGTCGACAAATATTCACCATCAGCATAAGGGGGTTCTAGGGAAGAGAAGTACAAGGAGGGAGCACATCTTATATAAGCGCCGTTTTCGACGGGAACACCAGTCGGGTTTTTGGATTGTGAAAACGGCCGACACCGCATTCCTGGGTAGGAAAACAAAATACTGCGTGACATTTGCGAATGCAAGGGCGGCTGGGAGGAGTGTGACTGGGGAATGGATTTCCCAGAGCATCGTGGTCCGCACAAATAGACAGCCCCTTTCATTGACCCGGGGATTCTGATTTTCAGGGCAATGTCGATGACTTTTGGTATGGGAAAGGGAGAAAGAAAAATGGGCTGCGTATGACTTTGAGTTTTTGACCGTCTCCAATTCTTCAGGGCAGTGGCGATCAAACATGGTTCGTGTGATCGATTGGGCCCAGGCCATGAGACTTTGGCTCATGTGGTACAGGCATGATCATCTGCCCACAGCTACGAGATCAACTGGCTCCCTCCTCTTGAACGGCATGCGGAGACCGCACGGCGTATCGTCCTGGGGGCACGAATGGTTGGACCGAAACGAGGGAACAATGTTGTTTGAGTACGTCTGACTGAGACTACGGGGGGAGAGGGTTTGATGAGTTCTGGAGACTAGGGCGAATATCAGGGGGCCAAGCGGGCTGTAAAGTAAAGGTACAGGGTAGTAAACTGCAATTGTACCGACGGCAGGCTAGATATGATTCGTTCTTTTCTTTGTTTTTGGTCATGGTCCGAGGCGAACTCGCGCGCGGCATACGTGCTATCAACGAAGCGATCAGGTCTATGTTTTTGCTGCTGAGTTTCTGTAATACTGGCAGAAAATAATATTTCCTCTGGATGGAAAGCTAGAGAGCGCAACAACAATTAACAGGAACACCAGCACATGGAAGCCTTTGTTCCGTGATGGGTCGCGCCGATGATGCTGATCCTTGGACGGGGTTGACACAAACGGCCAGCATGCGACCCTTTGGTTTGAGCCAAAACTGAGTAACAATGTATTCTCGTGATGAAAAGGGACATTGGACAAGTAATGGCCAGCGATCCTTTCTCCAATCGGCAAACTAGGAGAATTCAAAGCCAACTGTCTCACACTCGAAGGGTCGGCGTCTTGCGGCTCTGCAAACCAGACGTCGACTTGGACGAGACATTGCCAAACCCCGGCATGCTAACAGGAGACACTCTGCGTTCCTCGGAGGTGCGGAGCGAGTCATCTCTCTGCCCGTCCTGTCGTCTTGTCGGGACTCGCCACCGTCCTGAGCGAGCGGCCAAACACACCTTCTCTGCGGCCGTGGATGCGGCGCACGAGAAGCACACTGTGCCGGCAGAAGACGAAGAGCCAGCTCAATGTGTAAGGTGACCGTGACTGGTTGCACCGCTGCCTACGATCCCCGATGCGTCGACGAGGGAGGGCCGGAGCCGTGGGTAAATGCCGCGATGCCGTACAAGGCCTGCGTGGCTGCTGTTGCGAATGGCAAGGCTGGCGCACCAGAATTTTGCCTTTGCCATATTCCCACTAGATTCAGATAACAGGACCCTGTTGCCAGCAGATGAATCCATCCAGGGATCGGCACCAGCACGCCTGGGCCTCGCAAACAGCATCCACGGGAATGCAGATAGATTTCGAGTCTCAGGACGTTTCCACATGGTCTACAGTCGTGGCCAGTCAGTGCAGACGCCTTGGTCTGAGGGTTGGTCGCTGCTTTGATGTGTCGAGCAGCTGGTCTTGATTTTCTTCAAAAAGGATTTCCTTGCCTTGCGCCCTTCTATTCTGCCTGGAGAGTTGTTCCACATGTGAGACTTGTATTGTTGAAACACAGCACCGGGCACCGGAGATTGGCTGAACATGGGAATTCGGTATTTTCGGCAAACGTGGTCTCATTTCTCAAGTCGGAAAATTGGATGGACAGACATGGCATGCGAACGTAGGAGGAGTGTACCGGGGCGACAAGCAGGCGGCACACGTCACGTTATTGCTTGTATGCGTCCACGGACGCCTAGTTTTCCGTGACGGATGACAAGTCTGACTCAAGAGTCGGCCGTTACTGGTCCTGGTGTATGTCTTGTGGGCGACATGATCGCTTCGCAGCCGGGGCCGCGGTGGAGGAGCAGCCATTTCCGATTCCGGTCCCTTGATGACGAGATGGTATATGCGTTCGGCAGGGCAGCATGACAGGGCGACTGGCTGGTGGTAAAATCTCCACGGATCCGCTACCCGTCCATCCCGTGTCTAGTCTCGCGTTGGGAGGTTATTCATCCAACGCCACATACGGGGACGCGTGACGGCCTGCGTCTTCGTCTGCGTCCACGCCCACGCCGCCATCGTTCATGTGTCGAGTCAGTCAAGTTAGCCGTCACGTCATGCGCACTGTCCGCACCGCAAGCCGCCAGGCGCGGCCTGGGCGAGAGAGAGAGGGTCGAGGGTCGAGTGAGCTAGCCACGGGAGACTCGAGCCAAGTGAGACAGACCACAACTCCTCTGCCGATTTCGACATGGCTCCTTGTGGATGGAGCCAGTCTGACGGCTACATTCCTCCAGAGATCTGCAACGGGACAGCGGGTGACATGTTGGGCTGGACTTGGTTGCTTGTTCAGCACGAGCAGCATACCGGCAATGGGTTGACGTCGAGACAGAGTCTCGGAACGGAGAATATACCGAGGCGCTCGAGGCCGTCGCGCCAACTCCCTGGTCCGTGTGCTTCGCCCAAGAGCGACCAACGGCTGCTGGCATGACTGTTCGCGGAGCTGCGATGCTGCCGTGGGCGCCATATCTCACAGGCCGACAGGAATGCGGCCAAATCATGATGAACCTTACAGGCTTGGATGTCTGACAACCGCCACCGATATTTCGGTCCGATACCTGTGTGTGTTTCCCCCTTGGCCGTGACTTGTGGCGACGCTGCTCGCTGGCCCATGTCGTCTCGTCGTCCCTTTGCGAGGCCCACAAGAATGCGTCTGTGGAAAATGCAGACAAAGTAGGGTTGAGGGAGGAAGGGGGAAGGGTGAAGGGGGAAGGGGGAGTGAGATGAGTGAGATGCACGCCAAGGGCAGGCCAACGAGCCGTAACCGTGGACAAGAGGTCGTTGGACGAAACGTATAAAGTGCTTGCTTCCCGCCGCGTTACAAACTCGATTCTCTTATTCACCCACATCAGCAACACTAACACTCTCTCGCCCTTTCATCTTCCACCAGCCTAATTACTTAATATTCCTTGTGCGGGTTTATACCACCTTACTCTCACTCAAAAACGCATTTCATTTCGCAATGGCCCTGTTCAAAGTCCTCGTTGCTGCTGCCACCATCGCCACCGCTCTGGCTGTCCCTCACGGCCACGGCAAAGGCGGCAGTGAAGCCAACCACAACACCCACCACAACACCCACCACAACCACAAACTTCACAAGACTGTTGGGGACTACGCCAACCAGTGCGGCAATCACCAGAAGCTTCACTGCTGCAACAAGGGCGACAGCGTCGGGGCCTTGAACGATATCCTGAGCGGCTCCTGCTCCCCCATCGACCTCAGCGTCATTGGTAAGATTATTTTCTGCATCTGGCGACTTGTGTCGCGTAAACCGATGCTTGTTTCACTAACCCGTCCTACAGCAATCACTGTTCCCATCAGCACCGCCTGCACCAACCAGGTTGCCTGCTGCTCCGGCGCCCAGCCCGTAAGTCTCCCGCTGCAACACCACCCGCTTCTGACAAACTTGCTCACCACTTCGCACAGGGTCTCATCCCCCTCCAGTGCAACAACATCAACCTCTAAACGCCCTCCACAGTTCCGGAAAAGGCGCCATACGAATGAATCTGAATGGCCAACGGGGAGATGTTGCCATCGTACTGCTCGGGCCTTCATTGCGAAGTTGGAGTTCCTTTTGTCCTTGGTGAAGCTTGCCTGGCGGTGTAGTTCGCATAAAACCACCATGACGGTGCGCTGCAATGGGTTTGACTTGAAAAAATTCCGGCCGCTAGTCTTCGCAAATCAATACATCTAGTTGTCCCAACCGTGCTCCCGCACCCCCCGCTCGTGTCCTGCTCTTGTCTGTGCCCTGTCTGCCCCAGAGCTTTTTACGCTCGTGGCGGTCTTTCATCCTTGTGCACACTATACTCACGGGAAACCTCAGACCCCTCCCCAGGTAATCAAACCGCAGGCACAAGCTGCCATGAAGCGATGCTTTGTATCCGCCTCTTCGCCGTGTCAGAATCGCGCAGTCTGCGTGGTTCCTCTGGTCTCTCCCTGACGAAGCGGCCTTGGAGATCGTACTTCGCTTTCGGTCTTGCGCTCGTTGATTGGCCGTCCAGTTTGGGTTGAGACTGGGGCTGGATGCGAACGGCACAACGGCAAGGAAGAGGTGGGTAAAACGGGGCCTCGTCGCCGGGATTTCGGAGACGGCGCAGCGGGGCCTCCGGGACCCGGCCGGATTCGGGGCCGGAAGGGTCTGGCGCAGTTGCATGTTGGCGCGCAAGATTCCGCCGTCTGTTCTCCAACGAGCATCCTGGCCATAATGATCCTCGTCTCAAGACACCACTGAGGAAGCGGGACTTGAGCATTTCCAGACCGGACGAGTCGACCAAATATTAGACGGAGCTGGGCGTGCAAGCTGTCTAGTCACGACTGATTACGTGCCAAAGGCGTGGACAGTCTAGTCCGAATGCAATGAATGGGCCTGCCCTTGACGTGTTGTGACAATGCGCAATAAAGCTACTCGTAACTCTGTGGATCAGGTCCGTGGAAATCCAAGGCCCCATCTCAAACAGCCCAGTACACTTCAATCTTGACATGATCCACCGTGTTCACCCACCCTCCGAACCTTGCCTTTCCCCAAACGGTAACGACATCGCCCAAGACTAGGCTTCGGACAAATGATCCATCACCGGTAGCCCTGCCACGCCCTTGATCTTCGAGGGCCTTGCCGGCGTCTGAATCCGCTTCGATATCATCCAAGTATGACCAGGTGACCATGTGTTCTTGCCAATCGCTTGTTGCCATCAAGTTTCGCTGGATTTCCCACTCAGGTTGGGCCAAAAGAGGGTGTACGTATTTATATTCGACCTCGGGTTGGCTGCCATTCCCGTCCTCGGGCTCCCTGCTTCCATCGTCGTCACTCTTTGGCAGCTGTTCAACATTTGGATAGACCGCTCGGAGTCCGCTCACAGGGAGAGCAGAGCTACCTGACTCAGGCGTTTCCTGTCGTACATCGGTTGCGTCGCCTAGCGGGTATTCGATGTTAGCAACGCTTCAGCGAGCATGAAGGGGATAAACAGATAAGTAATGCCGTCTTACATGTGTGTGCGGCATCAAATTTTTCGAGTCCAGCTTCAAACCAAGTCCATGACGCCTTGTACGTTCCCTTGTGAGCGTTGTCGCCACTGGTCCACCCTTGGTCGTGGCTCTTGATCTTAAAGACGACTTTACGCACTGGCTTCATCAGTCGAGGTGTTGGGTATCTTGCCAATTTCGCAAAATACTTGGTATCGCAGTCCGTTCCTCTGGGTAGCGGTCTTGCTTCTTGGGTATCGTAGGCCAACTCTTCAGACAAGGTGTCCTGGCCTTCAATGCCTGTTAACCCTACGGGGTACGAGCGAAGCTGAGCCAGGCGGGATCTGTTAGTCGCGAACAGAAGCCAGAATGTGTGCGACAAAAGGGCTCACCAAGAACCTGTTCTCAGCCCGAGACGAACCGCATATACGCAGGGGTTCTTGCTGGTCTGCTTGATAGTCGATGACGTTGGTAGAATGAGCCCAGTACTCTGCGTGGTCGAAGATGATGTCGACCAAGTCAGGCGGTAGTTTCACAGAGCGGGTAAGCATGATGCGCACGACGACGATGTCAATGGGGTTCGGGTGGTAGGTTCCATCATCTGCATCTGACTTATCGGACGGTCGAGGCTCTGGCGCTTCGTGGGGTTGAGATATCATGGGCATACGACGCAGGCGAGCAAGCAAAAGATTCGGTACATTGTGGGCCATGATGAAGCTCAGGAGTACCAAGGACACGACGAATTCGAGCATATGTACCCCGGAAGGGTTCAATAGGAGGAGAAGACGGTAAGTTGCTACGGTTGAAGAGTGAGGGGTGTAGATTGCAAGCGGCAATTGTCGACAATTTGTTGATGGACCATGATGGTTTTCAAGTTTCAACCGAGTCGTGGAGTCGACCATGTGCTGACGTCAAGTCTGTCCCAAGGAAGGCGGCGGCGATTGGACGCATGGCGAAAAGGCGGGGCTCTTTGCACATGCTTGACTTTTGATTTGCTAGCCGTCCAACGCGTCGCTTTGCTTGTGACAGGCAAAAAGACCCGACGAGTGCTCTAATAAACGTGCACAACAAAAGTAAAGGTCAACAACCGCAGACAGAACTGCGGGCTAGCAAACAACTATAGAGTTTGTGCTTTCAGGTGCCACTTGGCGGTATTTTTGATTGATGCCCTCGAATGAAGACGACTGACAGGAGGCAGCCTCAGGCAGGACCACGTCGCCAGTCATCACTTGCCAATGAGGAAGGAGCGTCTGTCTACCTTGGCCTTTCCGCCTACGGTCTCGCAGGATGCTACTTTTTGGTCGACAGACACTTGACCATTTCTAAGACATTTAAGCCGACACCAGATTGACCGCGCCGCATATTGGCCTACTGGCACATGGTCGCATCCCATGCAAGCCATCGATATATTCATCTCGACATCCAACTTGATCCGAAGCTGAAAATCGCCCCTCTGCACGGTTTCCAAAATCCGTGTCACTATTGTGCACTGCGGCGGCACGTCGTACGTCGTACGGAGTAGTCGATCCCAGGCGGAGTTTCGGTCAAAGGGAGGCGGCCAATCATGCAGCCAGCAATTGAAATGGAACATCAAGCTCCTACTCCGTGCGGAGTACTCCGTACCGCATTCGCCATTCAGCCAGCTTGAAGGTGTCACGATTCCGAAACCGGGAGCCGTACAAGATCCAAACCGAGAAGCGCCAGAAACCGATCGATCCATTTTGCCCCCAAGGCGTGATATCGACAGGAGTATCTACTGGGGCCAATATCGAATACAATTCATGCATCTGCTGCTCATTAGCTGATAGTGCTTGCTTTTCAAGTGTTGGCTGAAAGGTTTGATTCGACAACTCGCTACGGCTAGTCGCATTTTCCCGTCGTAGGCGTGGCGTAAGCGGGCAGCAAGTCTAGAGTCTAGCTCTCCTTTCGTAGTAGTCCGTTCATGCTCGGGGAAAATAATCGCTGCATCACAGACTACAGTCAACAAGAAGGATGGCCACTTGGGAAGCACGCGGAAAGTGACCCAAGGAGCTAATGACCGCAGCCGTTGGTGCAACCACAGCCTATTCGGATGTATTCGGATGACTAGTCATTGGCCTGGCACTCAACACCAAAGATAGCTGACATGCGGTGTAACAGCCTCCACGGATTTAAACAAAGAATAGGCGTAAAGAGTGAAGGCCATGGTGTAACCTGGATATCCGCACATGCTTACTCCGTACCAGGGCCAGACTGAAAAGAAAGTACTACGGAGTACCGCGGAGTCAATAGGCACGTAAGTCATTCCCAGAGGCGGCCCCGTGTTGGTCGCTGGCCTCGTATCGATGTTGAGCTGACCAAGCGTTGGGCCAAAGAATAATGGCTGTTGGGACTGGAGCTGAGGCAATCATGACCCTCTCGACTTGGACCGAGTAGGAGCGACACAGGAAAATACGTATTGAAAAATACACGTTGGACTTGACAGCCCTGAGCGACATTGAGCATACAAACCCCATTCTACGGAGTAAGGGGCATCTCAACATGCGGCGGTGACCATGGTTGGCAGGAACATTTGGGCCTCGACGGTCGCAAAAGTCGGGAAAAAAGGCTTGCGACATGGCTTTTCCCCCTCACTCTGGAAGGGAGGGCCATGGAGGTCGAGGCCAGGGACGGACCAGGGACGGGCCACTGGCGCCCAGCATGTTGAGCAATCAAGGCCCTCATCAGCACTCACAATAATCATCCTTGTCGCCATTCCGGCAATGGCGCCGATAGGAGCCTAGCCTACGCCTGCCTCTTCGATCCTTTGCCTTTCCGCTTGCGATTTCTCCAGCACCGCCACTCTTCAAGTTCTAGCCTTCTACGAACCAGCGCAAAATTTTTCCCTCATCACCCAGGCAACATCGGGGATGAGGTACAAACAAGATACACCTAGATGGTGCGTGTCCCAAACGCGTCAACGTCATCTCGCCCAGCCTCTAGACTTGTTCGAGATGCGGGAGAAGACGCTAACAAGATGACATACATGGCTACATGGCATGGCTTTGCCATTTACACCCCGAATACCTTGAGGATTTGCAGGCAAGACAACAAGACAACGTGGGAGGAAACGAACGCAACCCCCTGCTCTGTTGGGCAGAGGGGTGACACTGGTGAGTCTGGTGACAAAACGTTCTCCTACAGATTCAGGCCGAGGCCAAATGTCGGGACCCTTGGCACGTTTTCGACTCGCTCTACTCCGTACGAAGTACTCCGTACTCTTCTTACAAGTAGTATTTTCCCGACACCCAGACTAAGCTCTGAGTTGGACCAGGCCGGGATATTAGCACGGGCTAGCACCGACAAGGGGGAGCAAAGAAGGCGCTAGGCCAGCATCGCCCATGTCTCTTTAAACACCGCACACATAGCCGCCGCCGTGGAACACGAAATTTTTTTAAATTTTTTTTCTTCTTTTCTCTCCTGTCCATGCCTCCTCGCGCGCTCTCTCCTCGATAAATCCTTGTTGCAGCTTGTTGAAGGAACACCATTGTCCCTATCCTCGTCAATCCAATCGACTTACCTGAGATAAGCAGTTCCTGGATCACGCAACACGCTCGCCCCGTCCTTCTCTTTATTTACTCTTCGCCCTCGCAACTTTGCTCGCGTACGGCTCACTCTGCTGGGCTGTCATCATCGCAACACTGGAGGCTATTGTGATCCAAGTTCAAGCAGTCGTGGCGGCGACTGTTGCATCCCAGCTCCAACCAAGTCCTTACCAACCACCATAGGGTCTCGCTCTGGTGACATTGGTCATTGTTCAGTGCCTTGCCTGTGATCAAATCGTGTTGATCAATCCAACGCCGTCTTTCGAAAACACCTATACTGGCATGAAGACCCTCTCGCCTGTCGTAGGACCAGCATCACAATGCCCTTTCTCTCCAACCACACCGGCAAGGCTGGCAAGTCTGCTCTGATGACTGCATTGTCCTCTCGCTTTCGGTTCTCCCCCAAGGCTTCATGGCCTGCCAACATGTCATGGCTTATGCTCCCCTCGCCGGCCACAGAGACCTCTGCTGAGGCTGTTTTGACGGCCTTTGCCGGAATGGAACCTGATATGGTACTCGATCACTTGCAGACTCATCGGGATGGACTGACCGATGAAGAGGCTGATGCCCGCCGATCCATCAAGGGGCCAAATGTGCTGCCGACTCACACAGCTCCTTCTTGGTTCATTACTCTTCTCAAGGCCATCCCGAACCCATTCAATATTCTTCTAATCGTCCTGGCCATCATCACTGCTGCTATTCCGCCAGGAGACTGGGTACGTCTTTGTCCGCCTAGTCTCTCAAGGAAAGCGCGAATCAAGATGCCGTTTACTAACCTTGTTCTCTGCAGAAAGGCTTCGCCGTCTTGCTTGTCATGGTCATCATCTCCGTAGCCGTGCGTTTCTGGCAAGAGTACCGAAGTAGCTTGGCGGTCTTCAAGCTTCAGGCGTCGGTGTCCTGTAATCTTGACGTTCGTCGCCAGCCGAACATGGCTCTGGGCCAAAAGATGTCTCCCCCGAGCGAGGCAAGCTGCAAGACCATTGCCGAGCGTGATCTTGTCCCTGGAGATGTTGTTGTTCTGTCCCCCGGCTCTGTAATGCCAGCTGACTGCTTGATTTTGGAAGCCAACTTCCTTCGAGTTAGTCAGTCAACCTGGACCGGAGAAAACGACCCGGTGCCAAAGACACCCAGCGTATCTGGTGAGAAAGGCACGACCCTTTTCGATCTCAACAACATTGCCTTCATGGGAACAAGCGTCATCTCAGGTAATGGAGTGGCCCTGGTTCTTCGAACTGGTGCCGACGTCTTGATTGCGAGCATGGCCAAAGAACTCAAGAAACGGCGTGAACCGAACTCCTTCCAGTTGGGTATTCGACATGTTAGCTATATGCTGATCGGATTCATGCTCACCATGGTCCCACTGGTAAGTCATTATGTTGCGAAATGATGTAGACGATTAACTCAACCTTTTTCAGGTGCTGGGCATCTCCGGATACACTACCAAGGACTGGGACGCGGCGGCTCTTTACAGCATCAGTGTTGCCGTTGGATTGGTTCCTGAGATGCTTCCTGCCATCGTCAATGCTAACCTTGCCCGTGGCGCGTACGTGCTCTCCAAGATGAAGGCCATCTCCAAGCGACTCGATTCGGTTCAAAATTTGGGTGCCATGACAGTCCTTTGCAGTGACAAGGTGAGCACATGACTTCTCAAATCACGACTTGGGAATGTCGACGCTGACCTGAACAGACCGGAACCCTGACCAAGGACGAAATTACCTTGTGTCAATATCTTGATTGCAACGGCGAGACAAGTGTCAATGTTTTGAAACTCGCGACTGTCGATGCGATGGTCCAGGGCTCTAATGGTAACAACATTGACGGCGCCATCCTGGACTACCGTATGCCTGATGGCTGTCGCGTCAACACAGCCCAGTACGAGAAAGTTGCCGCAATCCCTTTCAACTTCGAGCGCCGCAGGTCTGCCTGCGTGGTCAAAGGGATGACTGGAACCAACCTACTCATATGCAAGGGTGCCTTTGAAGAGGTCCTACGTGTTTGCAGCACGGTCCGACGGGGGGCCGTCTCTACTCCTCTCGACTTTCGAATTAAGCAGTCCCTCCTAGAGCGTGCAAATTCCCTTAACAAGAATGGATACCGTGTCCTCTTGGTCGCGACGAGGCAGATTGGCGACATTAGCAAGCAAGACGAAGAGGGTCTGCACGAACTCGAATCCAGCATGGTCCTCGAAGGCATGATCAGCTTCATCGACCCGCCCAAGGATGACGCCGCCGAATCCATTGCCCAGCTGAAGAAACTAGGTGTCGAGGTCAAAGTCCTCACGGGTGACACGCTTCCCGTAGCGGTCAATGTCTGTCAGCGCCTTGACCTGATCGGCCGCGATGAAGGCTCCGACGACGACGATTCGCTGGCAATCACTGGGCCCGAACTGGCGCTTCTCGAGGACACGGATGAATTCGACAAGGTGGTCAGGACTTGCAAAGTTTTTGCCAAGCTGACTCCTAATCAAAAGGCGCTTGTCATTGGCAGTCTCCGCAAGGCCGGTCACTGTGTTGGGATGCTGGGCGACGGGATCAACGACTGTATTGCACTTCGGAAGGCTGATGTGGGCATCTCGGTCGACTCTGGGGCGAGCGTTGCCAAGGACTGTGCCGATTTAATTCTGACGGAAAAAGGGCTGGGCATTATTGTTACCAGTGTGACAACTGGTCGTCTTACTCATGGTAACACTATCAAGTACATCAAGGTAGGATGTTCCGATGCGGTTTTTGGTCGAGCGGCACTAACATCACGTAGATGGTGGCTTCTTCCAACTTTGGCAATGTCTTTAGTATGCTTGCGGCTTCTGCTTGGCTTCCATTCACTCCAGTAAGTTTCTTGTTCTGCCAATGGCAGGCAGAAGTCACCCGATTAACAGATTCTAGATGCTGGGTATTCAAATATTGGCGCAAAACTTGCTTTACGACGTTAGCCAGATTGCCATCCCATGGGATCGGATCGACCCCGAGTATTTGGCCACGCCCAAGACGTGGAAGACATGGGGTAATGTCAGGCCATCGCCGTTAGACAGTGCAGGCCTTGCTAACTGCAGCAGATCTCCTCCGATTTGTCGTGATCCTAGGTCCAACCAGCTCCGTCATCGATATTCTCACCTTCTCCCTCGGCTGGTTCTTCTACGGCATCCAAACCGCGGATAATGTAGTCGACGTGCGGCGTTTCCAGACTCACTGGTTCCTGCAAGGGTACGTTGCTCGTCTCTTCTTCAGCCTTTTCCCAGGTCTAATCTGACGCCGAACTAGTCTTCTTACCCAAACTCTCATCGTGCATCTCTTGCGAACTCCCAAAATCCCATTCGTCCAGTCTCGCGCTTCGATGCCGCTTGCTTTGTCTACTACAGCCGTCATGGTCATTGGCTTCGTGCTCACTTGGATCCCGCCAATCCAGCGCGGCCTTAGCTTTGCGCAGCCAGCGCCGTCGTACGTCGGGTTCTTGGTGGCAGAGCTGCTGCTGTACTGCATTGAGGTGCAGATTGTGAAGATGATCTACATCAAGATCTTCAAGACGTGGTTGTGAAGGCGCTAGACGACTCGTGTCCAGTAACGATATGTACGGTGTTGGGATGAAGGCGGTTTAACAGGTGCCTTGGCACAAGGAGGCGACGCTGGCTCTTCAACAGTGCCTGCAAAGCAAAAGTTTGTTTTGAAACTTCAACCGATCAAGTGCTTGGAACTAAGTTGTGCGCGTCAATTTTACGTCATTCACTGTCCAGATGGTCATTCGGTGTAACCATTGAGCCATGGCGAAAACATCCGCTGATAGCTGCCCTTGACCGAATGCCGCAGATTTCTAATTGATAAATGTGCCCTCTGAAGCAGGCTCCTGACAGTCGTCGCCCCCTGGTGAACCGTAGCTCGAGTCCAATGCTTGGACATTGGACGGCGACAAACTCGTGCAATTTCCCGACCATCTGTCACATAATCTCCTCCTATACACATGAATAATCAGTATCAGCTCATTCATTACCCCAAGCTATATGCAACACCCTCGTAACTCCACCAAGATGGGCTCAAGGCTAAACTTTCAAGAATCGGCTCACAAGGGCCCGGTAGACAAAATGTCCGTGAATCCCTGTAAGCAACGGCAATGGCACATGCCATGTCCACAGATGGTCCCATCACTAACACACATGGTATGTATTTACGCTAAAAAGACAAAACAATCCCACCCTACATTGCGCCGTCGGCATATCCAGCGTCCACCGCCTCTCGGCATCGACGCGCCTCGGCGCCTAGTCCAGGAACATGCTGACATTGCCGCCAACGTGCTTCAAATCCAACAGAAAGGTGTCGTGTCCGAAGAGACTCGTCGCCTCGCTCAGCTCGACGTGCGTGACGCCCCTGTTCCCGGCGAGGCGGAGGCTCTGCGCAATCTCGCGCTGCTGCCACGCCGGGAATAAGATGTCGCTCGCCACGCCGAGCACGAGCGTCGGCGTGTCTCGCAGCGCGGCCAGACCCAGGATCAGGTCCTCGGGTGGTCTCGACGAGCCGGCGGCCTCGAGGGGCTCCGACGTGTCCACCTCGCCGGGGGGCTGCTCCTCGTAGGGCCGCGGGGGGAGCGTGAGGGAGCACGAGGCGTCGCCGGTGGCGTGGGTGCCGGCGCGGATGCCGTCCCGGTGGATCCGGCGCCGGGACCTGGTGGCCAGCTGGCTTTCGCGGCCGAGGTCGAACAGGTCCGTGGCCTTGCTGACGTAGAGCAGCGAGTTGGGGTCGTAGTCGAGGCACCACTTCTCGCCGGCGTGGTCGAGATACGTCTCGATGAGGAAGTCGGGGCACAGGGCGGGGGGCTTGGAGCTGTCGGCTCGGCGGCGGCCGAAGCGCTGCTCCCACTCCGGGCCGGAGCGGTACGTGACGGTGGCGATCTCGCGGGCCAGCTTCATGCCCGCGTGCGGGGGCACGCCGTCGTAGTAGAAGCCGCGGTTCCAGCTGGGATCCATCATGAGGACCTGGCGCTGGGTGTGGCGCATGGCGATGCCGTAGGGGTGGCAGCGCGCGCAGCCCGAGATGCTGACGATGCGGCCGACGCGCGAGGGGAAGAGCACGCCCGCCGCCAGCGACTGCATGCCGCCCATGGACGAGCCCACGCTCGCGTAGAGCCTGTCGACGCCCAGGTGGTCGAGGAGGCGGAACTGCGCGCGCACCATGTCCTGCATGGTCAGGATCGGGAACCTCGTCGCGTACCGCTCGCCGTTGCCCGGGTCGATGCTGCTGGGCCCCGTGGACCCGTGGCACCCGCCGATGACATTTGTGCAGACGACATGGTACTTGTCAGTGTCGAGCGGCGCGCCGGGCCCGATGAACTTCTCCCACCAGCCGGGCTGGGGGTTTGCCGGGGTGGAATGCGCGTGTGACGATGCCGACAGCCCCGTGTGAAGCAGAATGACGTTGGACTTGTCTGCGTTGATGGCCCCCCACGACTCGTAGGCGATGGTGAACTCGGGCAGGATGCCGCCCCAGTCGAGGAGCAAGCCGTCTTTGCAGTGGAACGTCTCAGTCGGCCCAGATGTGTAGCTGGGCTCTGGGCCCGACGAGGACCGACTCGCTTGCAGGCTGGCGGACCTGGTTTCTAGCGCGTCCAGGCAGGGAAATGCCATTGCCGGGTTCGAGGCCGTACCGGCCCGTGCTCGCAGGCACGAGGAAAACGGGGCATTTTGAATCCTAGCGATGCCCCCGAGCCTCGAGGGTCCCGGCCGTGCGAGGGTCCTGTAGATGTGCCGGGTGGTGTTGACCACGGACCGGGGCGCCATTGTCGCAATGATACAATGACTCTATTTGCCTGGATGAGATGCAAATGGGAGCCAGGACCGGTCGGACTACGCTGATACCATGGAGTGAGGTTGAATATCATGAACCCTGATGTGATGTCGGGGGCGACGTCGCTGGTCGAGGTGCTTAGTCATTATCAGCACACCATTTCACGTGCCCCCAGGTCTGTGAGAATCAATCGTGGCGTAGCCGCGCACGGATAGGAAGCCGGGACATAAAGGCCAAGAAACAACGTAATGGGGGAATATACACATATATACACTATAAAATATAAAACATGTTCTGTATCCCATGCATCCCGTGAACGAAATCAATCCAGTGTTCACCCTTGGTTGAATTGCCCATGAGTCATGTACGTCTAGCATTCTCTCTTAGATAAAAGGCTTGGGGGATCTTTGTTGAAGCTGGCGACTTCAAACCTCCGCTGGTAACCCTGTTCGGAGAGGGCGGTACAGTAACCGGTGCCGGTCGTGGTCGTGCCGTTTTCGCGCCCGGAACTTGGTTGTCTGTCGATGGAGGGGAACCCGCTTAGGGTAGGGAATTGAAATATTCGTCAAGATTGATACCAAACGATTTTTCAAACGTATCGCCAGAGTTGGAACTAGATTGAGCCAACGATGAAAATGTTGGGCTCGGAATCCGTGGAGCTGTGGCCGACGTTGGCGTAGAGAGGCCAGCTTTGGGACTTCTGCTCGAACTCGGGCGACTGGGCGTCAGAGGCGCTGGAATAGCAGACCGACGAGGCTCGGACCGGTCGAACCCCGACCACATTGGCAACTTGAAGGCATTTTTGTCATCGAAAGATGACAGTGGTGGTGGCCGTGGTCCTCGCTGTCGGCCGCGTGGCAATCCTTTGTACATGGGGAAGTCCCCCTCCATTGGTGGCCTCGAGAATGCGCTTCGACCCAAATTCTCGGCAGGTCGTGGCGTCGGTTCGCTCCTCGAACAGCCGATTCCTGAGTCGGCTGGTGGCCCATAGGCGTCCATGGCCGTGACTTCAACGTCATTTGTTGCGGGAGGGGGTACAACTGGTTGCAGTGGTCTCGGTGGCATAGCACTTGTCGACTCGGATGACATGCTCGGCCTTGTTGCAGCATCAAAGCTTGGCTTCACCTCCCTTGCGCTCGTGTTACTGGCGGCCCGGGCAACGCCTTGGCCGAAATCGAAATCTGCAAAGTTGCCACTGAATCCCTCCTTCGGCGGATGCATCACTGTTGCTCTGTTGCTTCCCTCGAATTCCATCGTAAAACTTTGTCTACGAGGTTGATGGAAGGCAAATGTATCTCGCCGTGCCCGGACACTTCGAACGATTAGACCCTCGGGACTGGGTATAGATATCGGCTCCGGCATATCCACGTTCTTCAAGGCACTCGGCGCGTTCCCTCCGCTGAGCGGGGGACGGTTTTCGGAGGCAGGCACGTTGACGGGTGACAGTGCCCCTTCTGAATTTGTGTCTGACGGCGGCGGAGACGGATTCGCAGTTTGGGTCACGATTTCTTTGTCCAACTTGCCATTGTGTACAGTGAAAGGCAGGGCACTGGTGTTGGCGTGTTCGCCTCTACCCGTATGTTGCTCGAAGTCGGACTGCGCAAGTGGACTCTTTGGAGAGCGAGGAGTAGCAGGGGCGGTCACAAAAGGGTTTTGTCCTAGGGGTGTGGCTGGTCGGATGTTGGCGGGATTCTTGCAAAGGTGAATATCCGATGGACTTATCCAGCCTGCCTTTTGGTTTCCCGGCGTTCTGCTAGGTACTCCGGGCTGGAATCCACTGGTTTGCAATGCAGCCGGGAAAGCTGTACCAGGTCTTGTGTTCCAATCTGAGGCGACATGGCGCAAACTTCCCACACTGGGTCGTCGTCGAGGAGACGCCAAGTCCGCCATGGATGAAGTCACGGCCGGATTTTTGAACACAGCTCGCCAACTGGACATACTTGAAGTCGAATGCGCGGTGCTTGGTCTTGTAGTTGACCGAAATCGGGGTCGCGAGAGATTATTGCCGGGATATTGGCTGTCGTCAAAGGCGTACTGGTCAAAGCGACTCCATTTCTGGGGGGCATTGCCTTGGGCTTGCTTGATTCTAGTGTGACGACAGTTAGGAGTCGTTGTTTGCTTGGGGCTCCGGGAAACCTACTGCGCCTTTTTCCTGTCACTCCCGAGCTTCAGTCCAAAGAGTGACACCATTTTGAGGTTTGGCGAGCAGCGTATTACAATTATACTGCCATGTCTCAGTGCCAGCTCCCACCCTTTGCCGTAGGCGTAACTCACATATTAAAAGGTATCGATCTGTCAATGAGGTAGTTTCTGATTGTTATGTCGAGTTGAAGCAGCGCGCGAGCGAATTGATGAAGGGCGTAATAGCGAGAGGCGCATGGAGGACTTCGGCGAACATGTCCGTCGCAGTCACTGTGTTGTTCCGGGCATCAGCACCAAGATTGGGAAAAGCCTGTATTTTGTATTCGAAGACCAAGATGAAAGACAGGAATGGTAATGGGCGGCAGGCATTGGGTATATGACGGTCTGGTGCGGAATTTTGGCGGCGAGACAGAGAAGACAGGCCTGGCACGAGAATGGAATTCCTGGTGCACTTGGGAGGTGGCCGCATGTGTCCCAGTGAGAGGCCAAGCAAAATGATAGCAAAACGAACCACCAGAGAAGCTGGTTGAAGGTGACGATGGGAAAACCGAGGGGAAGCAAAAAGGCCAGAGGCACTTGGCCAATAAGAGTCAACTATTTCCGAAGAGCAAACACCGGCTGCCACCGGCGTTCGCCTTGTTAGTTCTTCTCCCGCCCCTTTGTCGCCTTTTCTTGAACCCGCAACTCGCTCTCGAATTCCGCATACCAGATGGCAGCCGTCCGAGGCTCTGGAGTCTAGACCAGATTGAACTCGTCCGGGGTTGCAATGTCGCAGAGCACCCAGCGATTCGTACACGGTGAGACACAAGCGGAGCCAAGGCTCAAACGTTAACTTCTAAAGTCAGGGGGATTCAGCCAAGGGTCCAACCCAGTTCACGATCACGATGGGGTGGCTCGCGAAACGATTTAGTTTGCGTCGTCCTCGGCCTAGCTCTTCCATCTTCATCTCAATCCTAGCGCCACGACGGACTTCTCCCGAGGCACCCAACACCCCTGGCCAGAATCAATCGCCACGAGGACCACGCGCTGTTGTTGCGTGGCTCTCGGGGAAATATATCTCTGAGGTGCTCAACACCTGCCATCATGGCTGTCGGCACTCTTCGTTGCCTGCTCGAAATTCTGTGGCCTTCGTCCAGACCCTCTGTCGCCAACAAATGTCAATTGTTCCGGATTACTCGATCCCAGGACTGCCAGCCAGAGCTCTTGGCCTCGACACCAAGGTAATCAATCATTCAGGCTATTTTTCCTACTAGTTGCTCGAGTCTGTGGCGAAGCAAGCACATCGAGCTTCCAATTGGTCGTCGACGCTGTTCCCTGACTTTGGGGTCGGGTCGTGTCATGCCAATGGTTCATTTCTCGGGCTTCGCGCTGGTCAGCCCCTGAAGCTAGCACGAGACCGCCAGCCTCGGCTTTCTTTCTTTTTATTTGTTTAAGCACACATATCGGTCATCATGTTCAGTAGAACAGCCGTCTCGTCATTTTCAGCATGCAAAGGCACCTCGTCCTGTGGTAAGTCGTTGAGGCCGCCGACGACTAGTCAAACCGTTCGTTTCTACCCATTAATCGTCTTGGACATGGCCATCTTATCAGGCGTCAGGGCCGGGTGGTGCCCATGAAGGACATTATGATGTTACAACGGGCCTTGTATGGCCCAAAGATCGACGCCCAAAATGCTGCCTCCCAAATGATCCCACCAGACCAGAGCCTGGCCGGCCGGCGTCAATCGAACAAGGCCCTCGATCGGCAGTCACAATTCCTCACAACAGTTTGCACGCCATGGTTTCTGGATTTCACTCACTATGAAGCTGGTCCTTCTAGCACGCGAGTTGCTGAAATTACGCCCGTGATCCTAAATGGTATAACGCCAAGGAAAAAAGCCCCGCGACGCCAGGTATCTGCCGGTGCTTGGGTGCGAACTTTCAGTTTTTTGCGCCTCATCACGGCGCAGTCTGTGATTCCCATGCGGCAAGTCTGGGGCCATGTCCCGCCCAGACCGGTCACGCGACAAGGCAACGGTGCGCAAAGCTTATAACAAAAACATTTCGTAAGCTCATGAATGTCGGTGCCAAGCTCAGGCGAGTACCTTTACAGCTTCCAGATTCCTACAACTGGTCCAGCAACTTCTGCCTCCTCCTTTCAACGAGTTCTTGTTGAACCTCCTCCATGGTTGGCAAGTCCCATACCCGTCCATCTCCAGTGTCGCCAGGCAGAGCTTCCCATCCCTCGGGAGGTTCCTGAGGCCCATTCTTCAACAGATTCTCTATGGCTAATCTCTCTTTCTCCGCCTCGTACGCCAACAGCGCGTCATCCTCTTCTCCCGGCGCAAATCCATAATACGCCGCGTCTACATTCCTCCGTATCTCCCGGCTCTCCTCGAGGGGCTTTTCTTCCTTCTTTCCCACCTTTGCCTTGGCCGCATCAAAGAGCTCCTTGACGCCAGGCAGATCCTTGGCCCGTCCAAAGTATTTATACCCTTTCCCGCCGCCTGGTATCTCCCTCCCTTCCTCGTCGAATATCCTTCCGGCTGTACGCATGTAATTTGGTCCTCCCAAGTTCCGTATTTGTATTTCCCACATGTGCTTCTCTCGCATGAGCTTGTTGATCTCGTCGTTGAGGTCGCGGATTTGGTAGTCGCTCAGCACAGGGTCGTGGATGCGAGAGACCTTGCGCGAGATCTCTTTGAGCACCTGACCACGCCATTTTTCGCAGAGCGGCACCGAGTCGACTTCGGTGATGCCTTTGGGGCGACGTGCACGGCCGGCGTCGATGATGCCTAGGTCTGCAGCCTGGGCTTCACGGAAGCGGAAGAGCATGGATTGGGCCTTTTCTGAATTCCGTGCCTGAAATGCGTCAGCTGAGTGTTCACAAGCCTATGCGGGAGTGGTTCAGCGGTACCATGTTGTTAGTTTTCAACGCTGGGAAGCGTCTGCAACCTGTGAGATGGTGGATTTGCGGCGGTTTGCCTGTTGAAAGTGTTGAAAGCGATGGTTACGACTTGCGAAGGCAACGGGCAACGACGCGGGATGGGTTTATGGCACTCGCCACAGTCAGCCACACCTGCAAGGTCTTACTTAATCAGCCATTCTTTCGCGCATGTGGATGCAACTTCGAGCTTCAACCCTTCACAGCTGTCACCACCCTTTTTTTTTTTACCTTTCCATGCTGTGTTATTGAACTGACAGGGCCTTGTTCTGGCATGCCTGTTGGTTTTTTTTATGCTCAAATAGACTTGTGTTTTTCTCATTGAGTTCACGACCCTTCCCGCCCATACCATGAACTTTCTTCGCCCCTGATTTATCGCAAATCGACACGCATCAAAGCGGCCACCCGCCCAGTCACAAGATGGCCATCAAAATAATTACCTGCGGCTGCATGCATCGTCCTCTACGTCTTGCCGTACCCACTGGTCTACGACTCTGACGCATACATGGCCAAGCCAGGGCTGGCTTCAACATGATGGCAAGTCGCCACGAACTCCTGCAATGAAGAGGACAATCTCACGCCAGAGCAGGGATGCCGCAAGCTGGGTTTCTCGAAACTCGCTGACGAGCAAAGGACCAGGCTAAGAACAGAGATCTGAGCAGGGTCCCGTTTCTTTCCCCGTCGCGAGACTTGTCAAATTTACCACGTCCACAGGAGCCGCGATGACAGACAGCCTTTGTATCAGAGACGAGTCCACTAATCATCTGTCCTCGCTCATCGAGCCTGGGCAGATGCGTGGTCGGGTCAGCGACCTTGATGAATTATAGTTTTCAATCGGAGCAGGCTGGATAGGTACGTTCCGACAGCGTGTTGGGGGGAAAGACTGGAGCAAAGAATCACAAGCCCGGTGATGATCAAGGTCCAAAAAGCCAAATTTGCAGGCAGCAGCGACGATGATTGTTACGATCGAGGACTACGGTCCGAGCCGCGCGTTGTCGGTGAGAACGTAAGAGAGCTGATCTGAGGGTGCGTTCTCTTCTTCTGCTGGGTTTTGCTACACGTTGCTCTCCTCACAGCCAGTTTGGCCAGGTTTTGGTCCGCTTGCCTTCAAGTTCAATCTCGTCTTCCTTCTCAGTGCTAGCTACTTGAAGCCTCCCTGTCTCGCCTCTTCTCCCCGAATACATGGTCGTAACGACGCCGTGCAATGTCCGTAACGCGCACGGCCGCAGACATGGCATGCCACTGTTTCTCCCCTTCGGTCCAACCCAGGATCCGTCTCACCATCGTTCGCTTTCCACGGACTCGGCAGCTTTCAGTCGACCAGCAACCAGCTGCATGAAATCTTCAGCCCGCGTCCGAAATGACTTTGCCTCATCGCCAGCCATTTCACTTGAACTCCGTGAGCGCACTCCACAATTCGCCGTTGAAGTCACGCTCAACACTCCACACCATCATTCCGCCGAGTCCCTTGGACTTTGCAAACCTGGCCTTGGCCGCCAAACTCACTGGGTCTTCATACGAGATGAAAGTCTTGTTCTCAGGATTGAAGAGCCATGGGGTCATGGTCTTGTTGTCAAAAGTCCTCACCCAGGGCGAACTCGCCGTGGTAGGCGAAGACAGCAGCCCCTGGGTTCGAATATTCTTATAGGCCCAGATGCCAGTCCACGCCTTTGTCGCGTTGGAGCATGGCTCCCGAAGCATCTCATCTTCCTGATCACCCTTGCAGCGTTCCTTGGCGAAAGGCTGGTACTGGTTCTTGGGAGTAGCCGCCACCATGTCCTTCTGCGCCGTAACTGAGAAGCCATAGAAAGCGGCGCCGCCTGTCAGTTGCTTGGCCGGCCAACCTGCTTTGATCCAGTCATCTGCTCCAGTAGCAAACGAGAGCTGTGTGCCCTTTCCAGTCTCGAAGTTCAAGGGGGCAAGAGGACCGGTCGTCTCTCCCCACGCGCCATTCAGATCGTACTGCATGATATTGGCAAAGTCAACCACCTTGGCGAATCCCGAAACATCCTTGCCGCCGGGTCCCTCAAAGGGCTGTACTCGCAGTGCCAACGTGATCAGCTTGCCTTTCCCGAAGGCCGCATCTATTTTAGCTCGCAAGCTCGTCAGGAACTTGAGGAAATTGGTCGCGTCGTTCTCCTTGTCGACGGCATTGCAGGCACTTCCTTGGAGACCCGGAAACTCCCAGTCGATGTCGATGCCGTCCAGCTTATACTTCTTCATCATGTGAAGGATGCTCGTGGTGAAAGCCTCACTGAGGGCGGCGTCTTTGACGATTGTTGAGAAGTGGGCAGAGCCCGCCCATCCGCCGACTGACACAAGCACCTTTGAGCCGGCGCCCTGCAGTTTGGTGACAACCTTGTCCATGAAGGCGTCGCCCTCAAACGACAGAGATCCATTCTTCTCTGGTATCGCAAAGGCAACATTGATGTGGGTGTAGTTGGACAAGTCCATGTTGGAAATATCTCCATGTCTCCAAGTCGGATAGTATCCCACGAAGATGGGCCCGTTGCCAAGCGCCGGAGAGGCGTACGAGAGCAGCGCTGCTGCGCCAACTGCGAATCCGAAACGCATTATTGCAATGTTTGTCGTGTCCTGTTGATAATGACTGAAGTGAAGATGAAGAGCCATCCTGGAGAGCATTCCGCCCGCTCTATATAACAGGCTGTGAACAGCAAGTCGGCGTTGTTCGACACGAGCTCATCAAAGAGTCGCGTAAACTTTTGCTGAAAAGGCCTCCTTCACGCCAGAACCCGCGAATACATCCTCCATCTTTGTCCATAATCTCTCTGTGTCGCATAGATTTTTCTTTTTCCTTTTCTTCATTGTACCCGTTGCGTACTTTGCTCCTCCGCCCTTCCTCATTGTGCGGAACATGCGCATGATCGATCGTCTTCCTTTGTTCACGTATCCCCCATTGTGCCCAATCATTGCACCAAGACTGTCGCCAAGCGCTCTCAGATGCATCTGCGGCCGCCGTTGCCGTTGTCTGTGGCGTCGACAATCCCGTCGATATGCGACGAATTCTCCAAAGCCCTTTCGGTCTCTATCTGGATCTTTGAAAGGGGCACCGGGGCTCATAAACGCCGAGGTGCCGCCACTGCGCCATGGCAACAAAGGTCTCCTTTCCTTGCCCGGTATTCCCTTTTTCTTCCCTTGGCCTTTTCCTTTCTGTCTTCACTCAGGCCAGGAGACTGAGGGACCGGGGTTCAAAGCAGCTGCTGGCCAAAACGCCACATGGGCATCATCACATCACTCCGGTCAGTGTTGCCCCTTACAAGCGTACGGGGTTGCGCAAAGGATCAAAGCCGTTCTCCCGGCTCAGCGAGTGTCACGCCGCTTTCGATATCCTAGACTGCGGATACCTCGGCCAACTGCAAACTCTATCATTTTACGCGCCACGTATATGCTGTACATCATCACTGCCCCCCGTCCCTCCGTCTCGCCTCGCTTGCCTACTTGGTCTTTTTATTGCCTTCCACTGGCTTGCTATACATCCAGATTGCACAGAAACCCACAAAGCCGCCCACCGTAGCTCCAATACCTGAGATCCAGGGCCACGCCCCTGAGATGACGTAACTTCGAGGCCACTCGTCGTGGGCAATGTGGCGCACGCTGACCGTGTTCTTCTCCTCGACGTACGTCAGGAACGGCCGCTTGTAGTTGATCTTGAAGTTGAAGATGCCATGCTGGTCAGGGAGCTTGAAGCTGGCGCCGTAGACGGTGGCGGCGTCGCCGACGCGGACGGGCTTGAGATCAAGCCGATAGAAGGGGGAGAGCATGGAGAACTCGAGCTGGAGCGCGTCGTTGGCCGGGAGGGTGTATGGCTCCCATTTGTCCCAGGAATATTCCGAAATGGAGATGCTATAGGACTACATGACGGTCAGTACGGTGATGAGACTTGGTCGCGTCATGAGGCCAAACGTACCACGTCGTTCTTGATGCGGTAGATGTGGGGGTTCGTCTGGTTATCTCCCTTGAGATGATGCTCGATGCTATTCACACGCAAGACGCCGATTTCCTGGAACGTCCAGCCGGAAAGCCTCTTGGCAAACTCGCGATTCTCAGTCCTGACCTTGCGGCCCCCTGGCCGGGAAACAGTGGCATCCAGCCACGTGTCCTGCAGCATCTCGGCGGACCCGACAACCGCAACTCTAGCCGAGTTCCGCGCCTGGAAGACAGAGACCAACGCAAGCTGCTTGCCCGCGGCGAAGAGATCTTCGGGGTCAACGGCGTCGGGCTGCTCCTTGGGGTTGTAGCTGTACGCAGTGGACGGGGCACGAATCACAGGCGTCAAGAGCGCACCGGGGCCAAGCGCGTGTCCGACACCATGGGGAAAGGACAGAACACCAGGCACCTCGAAGTAATTCTTCAGACCGGGGCGGACGCTGGAGGGCGCATCGAGGACCAAGACGTCGTGCGCCTCGGGGGCAGAGAGAGTGTCGTAGTTGAAATGGTCGACGACGGTGCCGGTGCGTTCAGGGGGGAGCGCAATGCCAACCTCGGTCAGGAGGGAAGTCAATGACCAAGGTGTTGGCCTGGCGGAGGACAGAGCAACGAGTATGTTGCCGTTGGCGTTGACGAAGTCGACGAGGATGTTGGGCGTCAAGTTGGGTCCGAGGGCTGTCATCCATCAGCGATTGCGCCCTTCTCCAAAGGCACGGGAAGGGCAGGCGGGGACTGAAATGCAGGATCCCTCACCCTTGACCTGTACAGGTAAAAACACCAAGTGGTCGTAGGTCCTCTCGCCCAGGTGGAACAACTTGACATGTTCGCTCTTGGGAGTCTCATAGGTAACTTGGTATCCTCTCTCTGCAACCGCGTTGGCTCCTTGTCAGCACTTCGCTGGCTTCGCAGTATCCGCCTCGCACCGGGTGAGTTCTTACCTTTCAAATCACCAAAGAATCGGCTATACTTGTCCTTGTCCGACACGTCATCAAGCACAACCAGCAAGCGATTCCCAGCGGTGCTGATGGCCGAGACGGCAGCGGCGAAGACAAGGGCCGCCGCACCTAAAATCGACCGCATGTCGAAGAATGACGCACTCGATTCGTTTGTCGTGGTAGATGGCAGACCCGGGGGGAGTCACCAATTCGTCCTTGGTCGTCGAGGGAAGTTTGGCCAGCTTGTCCACGGATTGGCATGAATGGATGGCGAGTTCTTGTTATTCCTAGCAGCTTGGCTTGGGGATACGTCGCCTTGTGTCTGACCAACCAATGGCGGGGTGCGCCACGACTCACGACCACACCAGGGTGTGTGTAGTGCGCCAGCGGATCAAATCTTTTCCGACCTCGTCATTGCATCGCCAGTTGCAACAACCTCAATTCAAGCTATTTCACTGCTCAGCGACGAGGAACTCCCTAGTACATCGAGTGTGCTTCCCCACGCTCCCTGTTTCGAACTCCGCGAGCCCGTCTAACCTCGCTGTCTTGCACACAGGCCGCCATGTCTTCGCCCGTCTTCTGGTCGACCCCTCTCAAGTACTGTCGCTGGGCTGCTCGTGAGCGACCTGCGCTTTTCTGGTCCGTTATCATTGGTGCCGCCGGTCCCATCGCCATGCCTATCGTGCCTCCGATTCGAAAATACTTTGGCGATGTTGATCCTGCGCCTATTCCCGTGACGTACCCTGGTATGAGTTGCCCCATGGCTGCTATCGCAAGAATATGTGACGGGGGCATCCGGACAAAGGCTAACTTGCCTCACTCAGTTCCCACGGGTCCACGGAAACAATTGACAGGCTACGATGATTAGAAGCGGAAGAAACTGTGAATACAGAAGGAACAGCGGCGGGGTGGGAAATGAATGCGCCACTAGATATTTTATGACAAATACCCGTCGTGAACCGGGTACAGAACCAGTAGTGTTTTTGAGACCGGCATGTGCAAAGGGCGACAGTTACCGCCCGCTATACAAATCAAGGCTCTTTCTCTCTCGCCCTCTCTCCAATGTAACGTCTTGTCTGCAAATATTTTTGTGAAGCAATGACTGCGTTTCCTGCGCTGCGCTTTTCTCTTGACGAATTTTTTTCTGCCATGTCCAAATCTAGAATGTTCGCGAAAAAAAAGACAAAAACGGCAAACGCTATACTGCAATGCAACGGTCCTTGACTTCCCTTTCTAGGAAACTTCAGGCATGGTCATGTCCTCTCTCAAAGACAGAATGCTATCACGGTGGTTTCTACCTAGTTTTCGGTTGGGAAGAACCAGACTCTATCGGTCTCCGCGACCAAAATTCCATTCGTACTGCATAATTTATTAGTAAAAAGGATCTGCACGACGGACCAAGGGGAACTCACCACTCTCCCATCCTCATCTCCGGTGTATAAGCAAGTGGGCATGGGTGTAATACAAGTAATTCCAGCATTCGTGTTGCCTTGTGTGCCGCCCTTGAAGTCAAGATGATCTAGCCTTCGAAGCAATTCCAGTGTCCACTTGCCGCCGAGAACACATTTGCGCCAAACATTAACTTTTCCCTGGCTGTGGCCGGTAAAAATTATGCAATTCTCCAGCCACTCGTCTCCGGCGCCTTCGTAGAATGCACATGAATGTACATAATCATCTTGCTCTCCGCAGACATTTTGGTCCAGGATGAGGGTTCCATTGAGTGTGTACAAGAGAACGTTCGGGCCCGAGCACAATAAGACTTCCCCAGAAACATTGTTCATCGCAGCACACTCCACGAGTCGCACCAGTGGCAGCTTACGGATAAAGGTGAGCTGGTTGAGATCCCAAAGGAAGGCTTGTCCATCTGCCGACGCCGTCACAAAGGTGCTAAAGGCTATGCTAACAGCAATGGCCGTGACTAGAGTCTTGTGACCAAACATGCTGGATCGCGGAACAAGTTCAACGACTTTGCCGGGTGCCGTGTGTACCGTGTAGACTGACACAACACAATCTTCGCCTGCAGTGATTAGTGTTTTGGAGTCTGCGAAGCAAGCGCACGAGATCTGCCCAGTGTGAAGGTTTTCAAATAGTCCGGCAGGCTGGATATACGTTAGTAGGCAGAAGAACGGTGCATCCATGTGGAAGCAGAATACCTTGCGATTGTCGCTCAAGAAGAACCGGATGCTGTTATCCGCATATCCCCATTCCAAAAACTTATCATACGGCGCAAAATTGAGTCGGAACGCCGATGCACACAACAGGCGGTCGAGTTTTGGGGCGTATATCAAACTAGCTACACGTTCGTGGCTCTCTAGTACGAGAATCAATTCACGATGTTTCGCTGGGCTCAGGCTGGGGAGTTGGCTCACCTAAGAGGGGCCGAGGCAGACAAGTCAACGAGAAAATTGATGTATCCAGTCGTCTCGTCGAACATTGCGTGTACTCCCGAGCCGGATGTGGCTTGTTGAACACTTGGTGAGGCGTCTGACCAAAATTATGAATGACGCCAGCTGTTATAGCTCTTTCATTGGCATCAGTAATGCGATCCAAGTCACTTGCGCCAGCGTACGACAGATGGTGGAACACATTGAGATTTTCCACGGCTGCGTCCCCCCGCTGCTTACATCCGAAGATAAGGTCGATCCAGTGATGCAAATTTTCGCTAACATAGGGGCTCTCTAGGGCCTCCCGATGCTTTGCAATGAATATCTTAGGATCTCCCTTGGCCCAAGGTGGGAGCTTAACGTGGTCCACCTGTGCCCCAGTGCTTTGTTTGCGACCAAAATCATATCCGTTGATGTTTGTCAGGAATTCAGGGAGGCAAAAGAATTCAGGAATAAGCTCTCGGACGTCTGTCTTGTTCCTGGCTGATGCAGATGTCCAAGCGTCAGCGACGGATTGAAACAGTCGGTCTGCGTGATCGAAGCTGTCTCCTTGAACAAGGAGATACGACTGCACGAATGGAGGAAGTCGAATCAGATAGGAGCTGACAATCATTGCAGACGAATAATGAGTACCATAGTGAAATGGTGCTTGACCAATCTCCTTGAGCGCACTATATGTCTCAACAAATCCAGGAACTCTGGCTTGGGTCTGGGCGCCCATGGGCTTTGACAAGTCTCGGAATGTTGCCGGGTCTTCAAGGTCCAAGTCCTCACTCGTATAGTCGGCAAGGATCCACGGAAACACGGGATATTGTGTGAGATCGTTAAAAGTCCTGCCTGCCATGGTATTGACCATCATAAGGTAGTGAAAGTTGGACACTTCGCCCCTTTGCCATCGCCTCACAATTGGATTCGACGGTGAAGAGTTGAAGAGCGTGCCAATCCTGGAGCCTAAGCCTGCACCAAATCCTTGGGGGGGATCGTCAACAATCTTGAGTGCGTCAAGTCTCCAGGCGTCTTCGGGGTTTGGCAAGGCATTGGCCGCGCTTGTGTGCGGCGCCTTATTCAGTAGCTTGCCGTATACAGTATCTCGAACAGCGGAGTTAATCATCGTGAGCAAATAACTACGGCCATCGGTGAAGAAGATTTCAATCGCGACGTCTCGAAACAGGAATCGTCGTTTGGAGAAACTGATAACGTCATGCCACTTCCAATGGCGAGAATCTTGATCACGCATGCCAGCAGTTTGGCGCTTCTCGAGCGTCTTGGTCCCGGTAACAACCATGGTGAAGGGATCTCGCTCCTCCGGAGGTGCTTGCCACACATTGACGATGTCTCCGCCTGCACACTGGAATACGTTGTCCATCATGTATAGGGCATCTTTACCGACGATAAGAATTCCCTCACAGGCTTCTAAACCGGTAATTCGAGACATGTTGTAAGCAGCCTGTACCTGGTCTCCGTGTTCCAATCGCCTCATAACCTTCCTGTTCTTGTCTTCGAAAGTATTCTCCCCTTCAATTGGCTCATTGGGGTCGTCGACTAGCTCGAAGTCATCCTCGGCCATAAATCCGCCTTCCTGCTTGCCCGACGCAGAGTCAGGCTCAACCATCGCTGCAGCGTCGTTCCCACCAACAAGATTCGTGGAAGACAGCGAGCGGCTTGGCGTAGTGGTCGGGGGGGTCGTGCTCATAGCCGTATTTACCCGAAGGGGGACAGATGAAGCCTCCATTGCCTTTCCCTTGGACTGGCATTTCCCGTCAAATCCAGACGCATCTGGCAGGAGTCGTAAACGCATACGATTTCGACCTTCAGTTCTATCGAGCTTCCACTTGAGTGGGATGGGCTCGCTGAAGACAGCACCCGGTCGTGTCAAATCCTTCTCCATCCCGCGATATGCGGCTCCCAAATAGGCCATGTCATCTTGCTGATCTTGCAGAAGCCTCTGATACTTGAAATACTCTGAGTTGAATATGCTCTTCATCCAGGCCGTGTTTCCAACGTCATGATTGAGAAGTGTCTTACTAGCATTGACGGCATCGGAATACCAGGCTTTTAACTTGTCCTTGCGCTTAGAGAGTCTGCCTCTAGCGCTTTCAGCCGTACGTTGATTCTCAATCATAACGAAATCTTCCCATGTCTTGGCAATGTTTCCAAAGAATAGTTCATCCAGTGATGGACGGTGTTTGTCCACCCAGAGAACAAAAGTCTCGTCATCCACTTCTGTCAGCTTCTGGAAATCTCGCGACAGCTGTCTTTGGTCGGGAGTGATGCATGACCGAATGAGGGCTACCGATTCATCTGGTTTTTGTACCATGATAATCCTGAGGAGGTTTGCTGCTGCAATCCTGGTGGATGTTTTGCCATCAATGAGCTTGATGTACAGCTGATACCAAAAGAGCCTAAAATACTCATCGTCGTGATTGAAAGACGCAAGAATGGACATTTGCCAATATCCGAGCATATTCATAAAGGCCTTAGCTTCCTTTTCAGAGACTTGAGCGTTGTCCAGGTCCGAGAGCTTCAGGAGTACAATTCTGAATAAGCAGCTTCGGACGGTAGATACTGCCTGACTGCACAGGCGAACGCTCTTCAAGTTTGAAACATCCGGCCGCTGAAGGTATTCTAGAATCGAACCAATGAAATCAATTGCGACTTCAGCCCCATCGATAAACCAGCCCTCAAAGATGGCCTCGGACATCTGGGAACAGAGTCGAGATAGGTTGATCAATAGACCAGGTTCACATAGTGACTTTTTGTTGACGTGAATTCTGTTTGTGAGTTGCCCCAATACTTTCTTCAGAAGAAAGGACTCAAAATACGCTTGATGTTCCTGGAAACCAGGAGGGACATTAGTAAAGAGCGAAAATCCAGAGAAGTCCTTTCTATTCCAGACCTGGTCCAAAAACACTCGGAGAACGAGCTCCAGCATTCCGTCGAAGACTAGCCCACCTGACGCTTGGCCGCTTGGGTCACTGGACTGACGCGAGTGTACATCCGAGTGTGTCTGATCTTTCGGGGCCGTTTGATGGGCTGTAAGGAGCACAAATGATGAGGCTCGTCGCAGTGGTGTGCCTCTGGAAGGTGTTGACAGGGGCGATGATGACACATCCACACTACTGGTCCTCACGATCGGAGCCGGAGCAGATCCTCTTCCAATAGGGTGAATGATGACATCGCTACCCTCAAATGTCAAAGCTGAATCTCGAGAGTTCAGTTCAACTTCTGGTGTGACTGCGTCAGTGCTCACGACACATGGATACAGTGCAATAAGTAGCATCCGCATCCAATCTGAACTTATGACGAAGTCCCGGAATTCAGCAGATCGTTCTTGCAAGTCCAACAAAAAGCGGATCGTGCCAGATAGAACATTTTCTTCGGACAGCGGGCTGTCAAATTTGCTCAAGTTTGCCACTACAGCACGAGTAAGTTTATCATCTCTCAAGCTGCAGGCACATGCACACACTTACTATTAAGCTCTGCTGCCGAGAGGTTCGACGCCATACTCCCATTGTCACCGTCGCCACGACTCCTGGTCTGCGAATCGCTCTCGTCCAGGCGCTTCATCACATCTCTCAACCCGTGTTGGAGCATTGACGTGATAATTATCAGTGATTCCGGATACACAACTTTTCTCTTAGAGAAGAGGGCGAGAAGCGAAGGGGGGTCAATGCCATCTTCCAAGCTGATGTTGGCAACATCGCAGCCAAATAGAATGCTGAAGCAAATGGGCCACAGCTTTGCGTTGGCCCAGAATCGCTTCAGTTTACTAGCCATGATCACAAAACCACCAGATTTTCCGGCAAACTTTGACGTGTAACTAGAGCCATGGGAAACTAGAAGCCTAGCCAGAATCCTACAACCTTGTATGACAACTTCAGCATCATCGTCGGCAAGGAGGTATAGTAGCCACTATGCGTGGTTAGCCAAGAGATCTGCAACGCGTGCAATCCAGCTCACCTTGTTTGTTACAGTTCTTGCAAATTTCTTTATGTGGTTTGTATTGCCCTTTTCGCAGAGAATGCGAGCATACATGCCCAACACCCGCGCTCCAAGTTGTCGCCTAGAGAGAAATTTAGTGCCAACAGGTGGTGTGACAACCCTCATAGGGTCCGCCATACTCTTTCTCAGCGTTCCGGGTGTGCCTGGTCGTGAGGTTGAGGATAAGGCCTTGGGGGTGCGTGGATTCGAAGCAGGCGGAGTGTGAAAAGCAAATGTGATGAACAGTGATAGCGCTCGCAAGACCTCCTGACTCAGGTTTGACTTCACCAGCATCTCAAAGGCAAGCATGAAATGTATTACAACATCCTCGGATACAGCTTCGCCTTTCATGGCATCTAACAGCCGTTTTACGATTCCTGCAGGAACATTAGCATGCTGTGCAAGGCGTACGGGGATTGACTCGACTTACTCATCCGTGTCAGTCTACGACTATTAAACTCGTGATGTTTACTATTGACAGCAAACGTCAAGAATTGTTTATAATATAGCTCTTGGATACGAGAAGTTGATTTTCGCCAAATGTCAAGATCAATGAGCAAAACGCGGTATGCCAACGGATTGATGATGAAGGAGTCGATGGGTTCTGCGTGATTGTAGCCAACAAAGCCGAGAATAAGGCTCAGAATACGAAACAACAAGCTGTCTCGATCCTCGTTTGAAATGAGTAATCGTTCTGCTGCTGGTTCGCCTGCGATTTGGGTACTATAGCCAACTTTGATTCGTAGGAGCATGCCTAGGATGCCGTAACCATTGTCTCGTTCCATAGCTTCACTATTTCGCCAGCTCTTGCGAATGCAATGAAACATTATCTCGATGGACCTTATCGTTTCGTCCACTGTGGTAGCCCGCTCCAGCAGCTTCAGGGCAAGGGGTGTGAATCCAGCAAGTCGCCAAAGGTTTTCATCCAGATAGGATGGGACAGCGACGATTGGGGTTCCGCGGAATGACGCCATGCCGTGTGCTCTGAGCAACGCATCCGGCAGGCTGGGTACCGCGCAATTTAGCGCCAATGGCGCGCCTTCTTGGCTTGATACACGGAATAGGTTTCGAGTTGATATGCGCGGAAGTGACCGCAGAAGGCCAGTATCTAGGAACTGAACGTTTTCGGGAAATGTGGCAGATGGGAGAATGCTCAACATGATTCTGGACTCGGGTAGCAGCGTGCTCGCCTTCTCTCGAACCGCGCGCAGTATATCAGAATTCTCATCCTTTCCAGGGTGTGTAATCTCATTGCGCAGGCCAAGAGTGGCGGAGGCCTCGTAGGTTTGAAAGCCTCCCAGGCTGTCTTGGTAATTCCCTTGGTATCTGGGACCGAGCCCGTAGTGCACTGCCAAGTAATCGTCGCTGAGGACGTCTTCAAATAAATGGGCCGAAGCAAGAGACCATCTCGAGACAACCCGTCCAGGGCCAACTTTGCCAGATAACTCCAAAGGCGTCCCCAGAAAAGCCTGGACCGGATTCGTTTTGTTATGATTTGAGTTGAAAGATGCGAAGCTCTCGTTGTTGTCATTCGACAATGGTGGTGTCAGAGGATAACTGCAACGAACTTGCTCTGCAAATTCTCCATTTACGTACAAAGACGCCTTGCTGGCGGTCATTGGCTTTGGTCTTCGGTGTACAATCGCAATATGGTACCACTTTCTTTCGCTAAAGGCAACGGACTTGAACCTCACACTCGGTTTGTTCGAAAATACCGAAGTCTGCAAGATGAAGTTATGGGTATCCCGCTCCAAGTACATGAGTACGAAGCATGTTTGCGAAGCATCAAAAACACCAAACAAAGTAGTGTGAGAAGTGGGATCAAAATTCTCAATCCGTACCCATGCTGTGAAGGTATATCCAGCAGTTGACTGGGGAGGAAATGGGCGACCAAGACTAGACAATTCAAGAGACGAGTGGCCATGCAAGGATAAATCGAATTGAAAAAAAGGCGGGCCGGCATATTGAGACATCATTTCCAAACAAAAGTCGGCTGCGTCAGGTCGCGAAGCAGCAAGGAGAAATTGTGTATCCGCAGGCTGATTGACGCCTAGAAACATGAGCAATTTACAGATGGCGAGCAGTTTTTCACGTTCAGATAGTGCCAGCAACACTCCCCGACCGAAAGCCGCACGGAGAAACTGGGACAAGACGCCTGTGGAATGGACTGCGACCCGATTGAAGATGGAATCCGACATGGCGCACAGGATCGTTTCCAGAACGAAAAGAGAGCTTGGTGTTGCAGGTGAGTCTGCCTGACGTGGTATGGCCATCCAGAAGCTGACAACTGGTCGAAGAATCTCTGGAAATCGAATCACCGAAGTGGACTTGAGGATGTCTCGTACATTAGGTCCAATATTATCGACTGGTTGAGCCAAAACTAGGTCCCATTGTGAATCGCCGTCATCAGACGGGAGCTCCCCCTTGTCGTTGTCTCCTTCAGAGGCTGATGGTGGTGTCGTTTCGGATTCGGCGCGCAATCCTTTAGCAATAGCCTGGCAGAGTAGATCCAATGCTTCATTGTCAAGTGCAAATGCAAGAAGTTTTCCAAACACATGACAACTGACCCACGGGTCAGGCTCGGCACCGCCCAGTCCAATACTAGCAATAACCTGCTCTAGAGCCTCCCATCCACCGCCGGCGACGCGATAACGAAAGAACCTCTTATTGCCAGGGTGATTGCGCAATACTGAGGAAAGCACGTTCAGACTGGCCCCCAAAAGTTTGAACAGCGACATCATGTCAGCTTGGCTTCGCTTTTGTGGATCGTAAAAGCCCGAGAAAGCGCGCAGGACGTCGAGAAGAATGTCAAAGCCGCGGGCGTGTCGAAAATCATCCTGCAAAGCTGGCAACCCTGGGGCAGATACATGTCGGTTTATGTCCCTTAAAGGCTTGATTAGTTTGCCAATGTCGGGATAGCCGTTCTCTCCGGGTGACGACGCAGCAGTCGCAAAGCCATCAAGGAGTTTCTGCAGGATTTCGAAAGACTTGGACGCGACTGGGCCCGACGCAGAGGTCCAGGACCGACAACGACGAGGATGGGACAACATGGTCAGTTTACGACGACGCCGAGATCATCCCAAAGGTTGTCTTCAGCTCTCCTGAGCCCTACTCAAGGGTCCAGGTTTTGGCAGGTCAGCGGCAGCATGGAGAGCAAAGAAAGACGTCTTGATGTCGGTTGGCGTCGACGTCTCGTAAAATTCGGGGCTGAGTCTGCAGCGCGGGGCTCATCAAGATTTGGCAGCAGGCAGGAGCGAGCTATCGGAACGGACAGAGCGCTGATGCCCGCCCCAAGAAGATGGCTAAATTCGACGTGTCGAGATATCGTAATCAACGAGAAGTACTCCGTAGATTATCAGCAGCGTTATCGGAGAGACATTTCCTGGGTAGACAGACGTGACCTTTGATGACCGATTGTCATGTTCGTGCCAGCAAAAACGCGTCAGGCTAGACAGACGCTGCATGATCGAACTTTACCAACATAAGTTACTCGTCAGCCTCGCCGAGAGTGTGGCTGAGGCATTCTCGACGTGTGGCGCAGCTGCACACACCGATACACAAGTAACTTGAAGACCACCTTGAAGACCGGTATTGATGCGAGGCTGGGTTCTATTTCTTCAGCCTAAAATTCATGGCGCATTTAAATGGAGATATATGGGGCATGGTGCAGAATCGTTTGAGTCATCTAGCTCCTTGGGCGACAGCACATCAGCAGTCCCTGATACAGCTTCTCCTACGGAGCACCTTGGGAGCCCCACGCGAAACGGGTGAATCTGGCATAGGGTAGGCCCGAGGCTCGATAACGTCAGAGTCCCTCCCTTGGCGCTATGCTCATTCAAGCCACTGGCAAGTTTGAGTCAGTGCACCTTTGTGGCTTTTGTACACGGACTTCTGGCTCAGTCTGGTCGACTTGGTTCGAACAAAAACAACAAGATAAGACCACGAGTCAGGCGGCCCCCCCCCCCGCGGCAACGTTCACGGGCCAAGGCGTGTGTGGCTGTTCGCATGATGATTTACCTACGTAGGTATTAACTAATTACTCCATCCGGAAAGCTCCAATAGGCTCTAAATACCGGACTACGCCATGTTCCGTCGGAGCTTTTGGATGCAAGCTCCGTTCTTCAAGGTTCCAATGGAGCTGGAGACGCGGAAGCCAATACCGAGCACGGGTTTATGCAAGTCCGTCTCATGTCAGGCACCAGGTGACTGATTATTATCCTTGGATGCTGTCAAGCTTTGCTGGCTCGTTGGTTGGCTGCGCAGCCTCATGAAAACTGGTTTTCGTCACTCGTCGAATAGTCCGTAGATGATTGAAAAACACGGAATCAGACGAAATAGATTGGGGGAGGCGGCCAGGTAGCATTTGAGGCTGATGTGGCAACTGGATTCAGTGCCAGCAGTGTGTGCACGTACTGCGTACAGCATCTGTGCAGTACGTACTCCGTACGGAGTACTAGCCGGCGCCTTCCCACCAGCTGCCAGGCACAAAGTACTTGAGTACTAAGTACTTAAGGTACCTTGCACACAGGCCGCGGGTTACACGTTACACGAGTACCTTGGGTGGCCTGAGGCCGCAACGTAGCAACAGCTTCGGTGCCTCTTATTGTTTCTTGCCTACGGAGTACTTACGTGCCACTCCGCAGCAATCACTTGGAAGGCATCCTCTAATAAAGTTCAGGCACAATAAAGCATGTGAGAGAAAAGATGGCTCAGGTCCAGCGGGCGCATCCCGTGCTCTACTTATCAAGCATGGAGCACGACGCACGCAAGAAAGGTCTCGGTTCTCGCCATCGCCGTTTCGATTGAGCCTCGTGCCCAGTGTCTGCCTGCCTAGTGCAGCTTGTCTTGCGTAACCCCTCAAGTATCCGCGACCTGTGCTGGCGCAAGTGCTGCTCCAGAGTCCATTGAGCTGCTCCAATGGCGTCCAGGCATCGCTCCACCGTCATTGCGCGTGCCCCGGCCAGCTCGGCGCTAGTCTCCCTTGGGTCAGGTCTGATCATCCCACCGCCCACTCCTTGCTGTCTGGTCAGTGGTCGTCACCGTGACCTGGTTCAAGCCGGCATCGCTCGTCACCTCCGGCTTACTACTTACTTAAGTACTCATCTACCGCCCCCAAACCACTTGCCTGCCTCCGGCTCTCCCTTCTCTCTCTCTCCATCGACTTTCTTTCATCTTGATCCCGTCCACCATCCACCTCCAGCTGCCTGATTTTCATCGGGTTGGACCGAATCCGACTCTCGTGCATTTTCGGCTGTTCTTGCATCTCGTTTTGCGTTTGTGTCGCAGGTAGACCAGAACGCCCGGCGTTTGCGTAGCCTGCCCGCGTATCGCCCTCAAGACTGACAGCGTCACTTCACCAAGCACCTCGTCATCTCCCAAACACCCCCCCACACTCATGATGAAGACTTTTGTTGCCGCCCTCTCCGTGGTGGGTGTTGCCCAGGCGGGATTCAGCACCGAGACCATTCACAAGGGATCCGCCCCAGTTCTCAGCTCTGTCCACGCTGAAGTCGTTCCTGACTCTTACATCATCAAGTTCAAGGACCACGTCAACGAGGCCACGGCCAGCGACCATCATAACTGGATTCAGAACATTCACAGACATGGCGAGGAGGAGCGTTTGGAACTCCGCAAGCGTAGCCTCGGATCCTCAGAGAAGACATTTGCCGGCATGAAACATACGTACAACATTTCCAGCGGCTTCAAGGGGTATTCAGGCCACTTCCATGAGTCCGTCATTGAGAAGATACGAAATCATCGCGATGTGAGTCGCGAATCCAATTCCATCAAAAAGGGCCTCGCCAGTTGTAGCCGACGTCTGCCAAGCTTGAACATTACTGACCGAAGCCTGTCAAATAGGTTGAGTTCATCGAGAAGGATACAATTGTCCACATTCTGCGCCCTGTCAGCTCCGAGGACTCTGAGCAGGAGGGTTGCAATCCCGAGACCGAGAAGCAGGCTCCTTGGGGCCTTGCCCGTGTCTCCCATCGCAAGGGGCTTTCCTTCAGCACCTACAATAAGTACTTGTATGCTGAAAATGGTGGCGAAGGCGTCGACGCCTACGTCATTGACACTGGTACCAACATTGAACATGTCGACTTTGAAGATCGTGCCAAATGGGGCGCGACTATTCCTTCTGGCGATGCTGATGAGGATGGCAACGGCCACGGTACTCACTGCTCTGGAACCATTGCCGGTAAGAAGTATGGTGTTGCCAAGAAAGCAACCGTCTATGCCGTCAAAGTTCTCCGCTCCAACGGCTCTGGCAGCATGGCAGATGTTGTGAAGGGTGTTGAATTCGCCGCCACCAACCACCTTGAGCAGGCTCAGCTTGCCAAGAATGGCAAGCGAAAGGGGTTCAAGGGTTCCGTCGCCAACATGTCTCTTGGTGGTGGCAAGACACAGGCTCTGGACGCTGCAGTCAACGCTGCCGTCCAGGCGGGCATTCATTTCGCCGTCGCTGCCGGCAATGATAACGCCGACGCCTGTAATTACTCTCCTGCTGCCGCTGAGCTTCCCGTCACTGTCGGTGCCTCTGCCTTTGATGATAGCCGTGCTTACTTTTCCAACTATGGAAAGTGCACCGACATCTTTGCTCCTGGGCTAAACATCCTGTCCACCTGGATCGGCTCCAAGTATGCTGTCAACACTATCTCGGGCACTTCCATGGCATCTCCTCACATCTGCGGTCTCCTCGCCTACTATCTCTCACTTCATCCGGCCAGTGACTCAGAGTACTCTGTCGCTCCAATCACTCCCAAGCAGCTCAAGGATACTCTCATCGATATCTCCACTCAGGACGTCCTCTCCGACATCCCCAAGGACACACCCAACAAGCTGGCCTGGAATGGCGGCGGCTGCAGCAATTACTCCAAGATTGTTGCTGCCGGTGGCTGGACTGGCGAGCCCAAGGCGTCTGAACTGCAGCCGGTTGAGAACTCTGTCAAGAAGGAGATGAAGATTCTTACCCACAAGGTCTCCCATGGCGTCAAGGACTTGGGCGATAAGACTGAAGAGTTCGTCGCAAAGATTCACGACGTCGTCGACAAGGAGATTGAGCACTTCGTCTCCGAGATCTCGCTGTAAGATCTGAGTTTGCTCTGTGAATGTTCGTATCTTATACTGTTCACAGGGAGTACACATGATGTGCTGCATGGGTCTCGGCTTTCCGCTTATTTTGGGTAACGCAGATGTGTGCTGAGGCGTAGAGTTTCGGATGGTATTATTTCATTGTGTCTGTGGTTTTAGGTTTCCAAGCTGCTATACAGTCGTCAGAAGGCAGGAATTTATATGTCAACATTCGCTCTCACGTTGGGATCAATCTAACTATTTCCATCTCGCACGCGTGGAGCCCGATCAAGCGTGATATATAGAACGGGCATGATTCTGATGACTACGAGATATGATGCTATGAAGACCGTAGTCGAGCCCACAGCCTACGTGGTCGGCCATGGGTTGTTCGGTAGATGACTTGATAGTTGCTGTGTCCTGGAATGAATCGTGCCCTGTTCACCTGGTGTTTTGCTTCTTTTCCCCTGAACTCCATTCACTTGCCCTTTGGGAAAGTGTTCCTGGTTGCTTTCGTACGTGATCGAGTGTCCAGGTACCCAGGAAGGTGTGCTGGGCCTTTGCGGTGATAACTCACGCCTTCCTCGCCGGTCAAGAGAACAGTTGATGTGCTGTCAGGCACTGGATGTGCCGGTTTTTGACTCGTCTCCGTACCAACACCGATCAACAGCTTCACTTGACGTACGTATGATGTTTTGATACTTGCTCACCTCTACATTGCGTTACCCGCTACGGCTCGCCCCCCTTTTCTATTGTGCCCAATATCATTCCTGGTGGTTTACTATACATTGAACACATTATTTGAACGTTGGCTTCCTGCCCGAGCCGAGGAGGATGTTGCGACGCAAAAGCTCGCGAAGCACTCATCGACGTCCTCTTGGCAAAAGCAAATCCACCAGTTCTATTGTGAGAAGAAGGACTGATTTTGTAGTCAATATTGATGCAGCATCTGCAGAAAGAGACGCCCATATCGCAGCTAATTTGTCTTACTGGCGTGCTCATGGACATCACGAACAGGACACCACTGGGGAATGCCCCGGCCAAGTGCCCCATGACCTGCTTCCCCGACGGAGCAACACCATGAATGGCCGACTAGAAGGGCCGCCAAACGGCATTCCGAAGCGGAAACAGAGCGTAAGATTCACGGGCCCAAATGCCAAACCTCGGCGGCAACTGGCTGCTCGAGCAAAGCCAGTGGTGCGCTCTCATGGTTCGAAGGGACCAATTGATGCGACGGGAAGGCGAGACAATGTCCATGCTTCGCCCACGGCATCAAAGTACGAGCAATCCATCGACATGGACTACACGCCTAGGACCGGCAACTTTTCTGTCATCCATTCCAGTGGATATTTGCCCCAGGATCCTGCTGCTGCTACTCGTATGCCACCATTTTTGGGGTCGCTTCGAAAGTCCAAGTCCATGTATAGCCAGTCGATGATTTCGGAGTTGGGATACAACCATGATCGCAGCCGAGCTGAAAGGTTGAAGCCACCGCCAACAACGCCCTCGACCGTACAGTTTCAAGACGCGCAGAATCAAACGAAGCGGTACTCCATCAGGCGAAGTCTGCGCACACCAAAGTCCATGGGCTATCTTGATTTCCAGACCACGAAGCCAATGACAGAAGAGGCCGAGAATAAACGTAACGACTGCTCTTCGCCGCAAAGAGTGATCCGCTCAAAGGGCTCTTTTCGCCATCTCAAGTCTCATTCCTCCATGTTTTTTCGGTCCAAGATTCGTCCGCAAGAGAGCTCAATGGGGTTGTCTAGGTCGTTGCGCAACAGCAGTGACAACAGCGCCGCGTTTGCGTCGACCTTTTCGGGAAATGGAATTCCCCCTGCGAAGCACGCCGGAATACGTTTCACGGCCAGACGAGTATCGAAAAGTGTCCGGAATAAGCTGAGCAGACTGTTTGGTCGATCCAAGAGTACCGACACGAGCGGGAATGACACTGCAGCCGATCCGTCCCAGGAAACGGACAGCGACAGCTTTCACCACGCTACCGAACCCTACCCATTGAAGAAGCTTCCATGTCAAGAGTTACTTCTCATGTCCCTTCATTTCATGCGGTTCCGTCGTACCAACAGATGCGGTCACGGCAGGGAAGCCTGGAGAGCGTCTCGCCCGAGGAGAACGTGCTCTCTGATGACAGGTCCCGCGTGACTAGTTGGACGAACTCGACAGCAAATACTGTGCTCAACTTTGGCGTGACTGAAGAGCACGAGTACCAGCGTTTATCTGTTATCAGGGAAAACGGCATGCATATCCCATCAACTTCTCACGTTCCACTGGCCAATTCTGCTGTGCCAGGAATGACAATCAATAGCCAGCGAGTGTATTCAGCACTGATGAAGAAGCTCACAAACACACCCGCCAACTCGGACGGGATGCATCATCACGAGTCGACACGTCGGTCGTCAGCCGAGTCGGTGCCACTCAGACACAGTTGTGTTGATCAAGCCAACCCACAACCAAGGTCGCCTCCGATTGTTCGATGCGTGGGGACAAGTGATGACGATGTGTTCGAGGATACCAAGGAAGTCATCTCCTCAAACCAGTCGGAAGAAGAACAGGACATTGAGACCGGCGAATCATTTCGTGCCATGTCGAAGAAGTCGGCCTGGAAAGCTTACCCGAATGCATCCGCGGGTGATGGAAAGGGGCTTTCACCCGACAAGATTCCTCTACCAGGGTCGGCATCGAAACGACCATCCATTCGTGCGGACAGACACTCAACCCTTTCGCCAAGTTCAGATGGTCATCTCTTCCGCACGACAAGTCCTTACCGTAGAGCGATTCAGCGAAGCATGAAAGAGTATCAAGAGTCGGATCACACTCACGCATTGGACACCAGGTATCTCAGCACCCTGTCCGCATTGAGTCTACCGACTAGACGCCCAAGCACTGTGGGATCAGAAAGAGATATGCGTTTGACCTATGCTGAGAGCTTTTATTCCTTCATGACCGAGGAACCAACAACCACGCGGCTGGATGGACCTGCATCGCCTACTGTTCCTCGCGTTCATGAAATTGAGCCAGGCAACGAAGCCGTGACGGAGGAGTCTGGTAATAAGATGGAAACTTCGGTACACGGCCGCGACATTTCAGCAGCAAGTTCGGTGGAGTGGAAGACTTGGCTCAGCGCCAATATCTCCAAGCTGGAAAAACCGCATGCCTTGATGAGCTCTCAATATGAGGGGCAGCCAAGCAATGCCACGCTACCTGCAGGGCACATAAGAGAGAGTGCCGAGATTGAATCGCCTGGCGAAACTCCAAAGACAGCGCTGACAAGCACAGGAGAGAGGTTAGCCAGCCACGTAGTAAGTCACCGCTGTGCTGGAACTCGCCCATCGCCGTCGACCCAGATGGGGAGTCCTCTGAAGTGTCCAGAGGGCGCAGTCGGACCCAACAAGAGGGACAAGTTACAACGTTCTGCGTCGCGAAAGGTTGCGTCCAGCTCACACCGTCACACCCCTTGCTCCACTGTCTCCGTGCCCAAAGCAGACAACGACAAAGGCCCAGGTTCGAACGAGAGCCGGCCGGGCCTGCTGAGAATGAGGTCTCTCAACACAATCCCTACCACGGTGCCGCAATCACATGATGGCTTGCTTTGGAAGCACTGCGACCAGGAAAACTCGAGAACCGGACCACTGATCACGACCAAGACCACCCCAGGGCTTGCAGCTATAACTCAGCGAACAGTTAGTGGTAAAGCAAGCTCACCAGGGAAGCTGAGCAACGGTGGTTCGACATCTCCACGAACCCCTGAAGGACCGATGGCTGTATCGAATGGCCTGTCGGAAACAACCAAATCAGAGTGGGACGCCCAGATCAGAGGAAGTCGACGAATGGTTGATTTGTTTTTGAGCAGTCGCCGAAAGGCAATTCACGGGACCATGTCGAGAAATGGAAGTGAAAACTATTCGACTGTATTTCTGTAAGGCCGGTTGCTTGCCTGTATATATTACTTGTCGGCCAGGATAGCTATCGAGGCGAATGGAGCGGCAGATGATTTGGCATGGCGTAAACTGTGCGCCCAAGAGTGCCGTGTGCCTGTATGAATGACGAGCATCTCGCACGTATCCCGTCGTCTCAGCCCCGAAAGTTCTTTGGCGACGCGGGACTGACGTGGACTTCCCACAGGCGGGCCAAAGACTTGGGAAAGGACTTTTCCCTCTCACGGCTCACCCACTTGTTGTACTCGATGTGCGTAACCTTTTCGCCCAAGAGCCCCCCCACGTGGGTGTCCCCCGAGGACAAAGACTTGATGAAGTCATCCGATATACGGACGTATTCCCTCAAGGCCTCGTTTGCATCCAGCGTGGCGCCCGTGACCCAGGTCAGCAACAGAGGCTCTATGAGCGGAGCATCCGACACGCTGGCATGGCTGGTGCCCAGGCTGGTCAGGAACCAGGCTGCTTGTGTGCGGAGCAGCACGCCCCGCACCAGGTCACGAACGGTGTCAAAGTGCGGTCTGCCGAAGAAGATGGTGCGCTGCTTGGACCACGAGTCTGAGTGGACGACGAGGAGGGCCACGTCGACGGCGGTGTTGAGGGGCCCGCTCTCCTTGCCGGGGTCGAGGGCGATGCCTCCCACCGACGGGTTGGGCCGGCCGGCGTCGAGCTCGGGGGGCGTGCCGGAGCTGGCGGCAGAGGCAGAGGCAGAGGCAGAGGCAGAGGCAGAGGCAGAGGCGGAGGCTTGCTTGAGCGCCTGGAGGGCGGCCGTTGCGCCGTACGAGTGGCCCGCCGTGACGAGGCGGCCGAGGTCGAGGCGGCCGGAGAAGGAGCCCAGCGACTCCGGGGGCGAGCGGGTGCTCTCGACGGAGGAGGCGTTGGCGTCGAGCTGGCGCAGCAGGCGGATCGCGTGGAGCATCTCGGCGTCCCGGAAGGCCAGCTGGTGTCTCTTGAGGGCGGGCGTGTCGACGGGCGTGTGGTTGGCGGCCGAGGCGAGCAGGTCCGACTCCCGGAAGTGGAGGCGGCTTTTGGCCGGGACGCCGGGGGCGCGGATGGAGCTGCCGGGGGAGGAGCCGTCGCGGTGCTCGATGGCGGCGACGACGGTCCCGCGCGACGCCAGCTCGCCCAGGTAGTTTGTGTAGTCGGTTCGCGAGGACGCCATGCCGTGGGAGAAGACCAGGACGGGGAACCGGGGGGGCGAGCTGGCGAGGGCGACGTCGACCTGGGCGGGGATGGTGATGGGGCCGGCGACGAGCCAGAGCGCCAGGGTGAAGATTGGCCGGGCGAGGACGTTGTCGAGGCGGGCAAAGCGTGCGTATCCTCGGGCCGTGAGACTGACGGGCCGCGGGATCCAGGGGAGCGGCGGCTTGGCGGATCTGGCGTCTTTGTCGGCCGGGTAGTATATCGTGACGAGGACGGTCTCGAGCTCGAAGGCTGGCGTGTGGGAGTCTTTGAAGACGGGCTCTGCTATGAGCTCGGGCCGCGGGAGGGGGACCTCGAGGTCGATGGCGCCGACGGCGTGAGGGCCCGTGTATGCTGGGAGGCGGGAGGCCAGGGGCGGCACGGAGAGGGTTATGCAGGTCGTCGTGTAGACGAGGAGCGTGTAGAGGATGGCGGATTTCCAGGAGATGCGGGAGAGGCGTCTGGAGCGGGCGAGGATGGCGCTGACGACGCGTTGGAGACGGCCTCGAGACGGGAGAGCCCAGCGCGGTCGGGGGGCGGTGGAAATGGGCGCCAGGAGCGGTGAGTCGGGGGAGATGGATGAGATGGATGAGGACGGTGAGAGGGACATGAGTTCGAGGGGTGGCGAGATTGGTGGCTGTGAGAGCCGTGGCATTTTGGCGGGCGAGGTGAGGTTTTGGGACGGACCGTGACGATGTGCGAGTGAGTGAGTGAGTGAGTGAGTGAGTGAGTGATGAGTGAGTGAGTGAGTAAGTGGGTGACTGGGTGAGAGAGAGTGACGTACACGCGTGCGGGTGTCGGCGGACCGAGTGGGGCCGTGTTTGCCGCGGCTGCCATCATTATCTAACGTCCCGCCCCACAAGATCGCCAGCCCCCTATTTTCGACAGGAGTTTACACTATAAATACTACTTTTTTAAAAAATTATATAATTATAAATATAATATTATATAATAAACTTTTATAATATTTATAAATTATAATAGTTAAATTAATTATAATTAAATTATAAGATATTTTTATAGCTTATAAGTATTTTAATTTATTTTTTAAAGATAGAAATTTTTTACTAATAAATACTAAGAAAATATAAATATAATTAATTAATTAATTAAATAAAATATCTAAAAATATTTA